TTACCATAATCTATTACAAGTGCAAAATATTTGAGATTTTTTACTTTTGTGGTTTGCATAGTAGGTGTCACCAAACATGACAAGAACAGAAACTTCAAAAATTTAATATACTGTTCTGGTGCACTCTATTTTTGTCTCATCAAATATTCTGTTTATTGCAAAAATCTTTTTTGATTACATTCTCTACAGATGTTGAGGGGTAGCATAAAAAAAAATGCTTCTGGATTTGCGTGCATGACCTTATCTGAACAATGCCAGCTGCATTCTTGCCTTGTTGGTCTTTCTTTGAAACACAAAAATGTGTAAGATTGATTTCAAATTGTTATATCAAGCTCTCAAAAATGGATATGCTTGTGACAGATGAGCAAGTTATTAAATAATTTTCAGCTCTATAATATCTCTTTCTTTTTTTTTTTTAAATAGCACCAGCAAAACAAATTGCCATAACTTATAACTAGGATTTAGTGTTTTCTGATAAAACCGAAAAACTCGGGAAAACTCTCACCGGTAACGTTTCTGTCAACTTGGATTTATCCGATGAACTTCAAATATCAAAATCACAATGTAAAAAAGAAAGGTATTTTACAAATAAGTTTTTTTCAGAGAACAGGATCATTTATTTGATTTGAGTTTTGTTTGAAATCTCAGAACATTGACAAAAGAGGTGTGTACTGGTTATAGGTTGGGTCAGGACGACGGGTCATTGTACTTCTGGGTCATGACAAAAGCCACTGTTTCGGTTTCCAATTTGAACCATATTATTTTTGCACCTGAGGGAGAGGGTGGGTTGCGTTTTTATAACAGTGAAAGCTTTGAACACTTAGATCTTGTGGAAATGGGGGGGAGGGGGGGGGGAAGGGAGGGTGAACTGCGGCTGAAATTTCAATATTCCTCTCTTCACAACTTCTCCGGGCCCGTGCAACCGCGGGTGGAGTGGTGGAATAATATTAGAAGGAAAAAAGTTTCCAAACACTATGTTCGTGAATTTCTAGATCTTAAAGTATCAACGTTCACTGAAGCACCACTTGTTTCCAAGTTTTGTGGTGGGATATTTACTATTACGAATGTCAAGGGCATTAGTGTCAAATCCACCACAAAATATCATTTTGTAATAGAAAGCTCTTATAAATTTAAAGCAGAATTTTTAAAATTGGGAACAGAGCAATATTAAAGTTTGAATTCTGGAGAATTGAGAAAAGATAAAATCCGATAAACTTAGAAATTCTGGTAAAAAATAAACTCAGATAAGCGCCTTCCAAATTTCACGAAAATATGAAAGCCGAAAACACGGACCCTAGCCTATAAAAAGTCGAGATGGCCTTTTTCTTATATGTATGCCCACAAAAGCATAAAAGCAAATCTGTAGTTATTGGGCTGCCATACACTCTATATCGCACTCACAGAATCACGGCACAATAGCAACCTTCTTTCATTCCCTCTTTTTGTTCATGGGCTAGAGGAGGGCATCTAGAACACAGCATTCAACATTACAATCTCATTCCACATTTAAAGATAAAATGATCCAGTCAATACCAAATGCCAGAGGAAAACAAAAGCCATTAAACCTCATGCACTTCTGTGATCCCGTGAAACACACCTCATTTACAGTCACTCTAAATACTGCTGCTAGAAAAAAAAAAAAGATGCAGACAAATATGCACTGCTAATTTCCACCCCTTATTCGAGCTTGTGCTGCAAGCAAACTCACCTCTGAAGTAAAACACGCTGATGCATAACAAACACACACACAAATGAAAAAATTGGGAAAAAGTAAACTCAGGCAGTAGGTCAATCAAATGTCTAGGCTCACCTGCAGACAGAACAGAGTGCTAATGCAAAGGGAGTAAACCACATAGAGCTCCACTGGAGCAATGCAAACTGGCAACGATTCTGTTTTCCCCCTTTGCTCCTCCCCCATCGGAAATTGAGTTATTGGATTAGCGGTGGTCCCCAGGAGAGTTCTTAATCCTTTTACTGCCTTCCGCATTTCTATGTTTCTGCTAAGCCCAATGTCGCACACAGACATAAATAAGCTGCGGAATGGAGAAGCATTCCTGCCTGCTACCACAAATAGTAATAATTGTTTTCAATGTTTTTATTCCACAGAGCACAATACCCCTGGCCACTTTTTGGAAATGCTCTTCTGCTCAGGGAAATACTCTCTCTTTTATGTACAACTTTCTTTACATGTTGGAACCTTGAAGAGAGCACCGCCAACAGCTCTCTCTGGTGATGCAACATCAAATCACAAAAGCTGGAATACTTTCTGGCTAATTAATGAAAGATAACAACTCTGAAAATATTAAAATTAATTATTTTTGGAGATTTCTAGCAAAACATTTTCCTTCATTTTAAACATACACCTATGTATGTTTTTTTAGTATGGTATTTTAGCTGTCTTGTATTTGTTATACTACTTGATGCAGTATAGCTAAAAAAAAAGGTATCCTTACAAAAAAAAAAAAAATCTGATAGGTAGGGGATGCAATAAGCTCTAGCACATGCATAAAAGGGGCTAAGGTGCTGACAGCATATGCAGGCTTGCAAAACAACTGCATTCATTCCAAAGCCATAGCACAGCCAACACCAGGAAAAAAAAAAAAACCCATAAAACACTTAAAAAAATGTTTTCCCAGTTTTGTTGAAGGGATACTTTGTGCCATCAAAAATAAATATTAAAAAACACAGTATAATTTAATTGAACAGTAAGAAACAGTGGAAAGCAATTAAGCTAGAGAAAAAATGGTAACTCAGATCAATTTATTATTGGTAGTGTCGAATCTGCAGTTTTGGGCTTCTGTGATGCCAAAAGTGTCTTATTCGTATCGCCACAAATTTAGCACCAAATACTCTAGAGAAGCCACAAAGTTGCCAGAGAATGACATGTCCAATACATACTAACACGCAGAAACACCCCTCATTAAAATATACCTATGCACAGTAAGACTCTTGTAACTAGCCCAAAGGTATGCAAATGTGATTGCTGTACCAATACATGTTAACATGTGCTCAATGCAAGCACCACAAACATTTTGGGTGGTTCATCTACGAGTGCATGTTGTAATATAATTCGTAGTTATCAGTGGGACCATTATTACACTGGATAGTACTCAAATAGAATTTAAAATAAATAAGCTATACTAATTTGGTCCACTGATTAATAACCCACTCCAAAATTTTCAGTATCAATATTCCTTTTTTTTCTTTACAGCATGATCTCACCATGAAAATAGTGAATTGAAGTTTCTATGTTGTAAACCCTTACATGGTCAAGTCTAGAAATATGTTAAGAATAAGTTGTAGCAGCAAGTAACAACAGTTATTCTGCGTGCCAAAGGCATGCACCTTATCTGGAAAACAGTTGTCAATGCATTTAAAGAGGACCAAACATACGTGTTACTGAAGCATGCACCCAAGTTATGGCCTTTCAATACTGCTGCATTAAACAATGCACATTAAACAATGCCTGCATTTTAAGTACCGAGAACAAAGACAAATATAATAATGGGACATAAAGAGCATAAGGAATGTTCCTAGCCAAGTGCATACGCATTGCTGAGGACTCATTTGCTCCAACTGGCTTTGCTACGAGACGCTCTACTCAGTGGTGTAGCCAGGAAGGAATTTATGGGGCTGAAGCCCCCTCCTAAAGTCCTTGCCAACCTTATATCACGTAATCAAGCAACAACAAACATGCATGGACAAGAAGGTAGACACAAAAGGGCCCTGTTCTTGTGGCTCTCCTTGCCCTTTATTACATGACCATCAATCAATTGGCCTAAATTTGTTTTAATGCCCTATAATTAGGGTTCGGAGTTTTCGGTTTAAACCGAAAAACACCGATAAAAGTATGCCGAATCTGTTTTCGGAATTTCGGTTTTAACCGAAAAAGGTCAGTTTGTAGGTTCAGCATTTTCGGTTTGAACCAATAAAAACCAATAAAAGTACGTCTAACCCGTTTTCTAAAATTCGGTTTTAACCAAAAAAAGTTCAATTTTTTAGGGCCGCGTTGAGGTGGGTGGGGAAGGGAGAAAGGGAGAGAGCTTTGCGAAGTTCGACATTATGAGACGTCTTCGTGATTGCCCTCTTCCAAGGTTCAACATGCAACCAACAAAAGAGGTCGTGGATTGGCCTTCGCGGGACATCTGTGTCTTTTCTGTGATCGGGCTTAGTGTGTCAAATTCCGGGCCCGAAAAAAAAAAAAAAAAAAGTTTGGATGTAGGTTAGTATAAGGGTTTTCGCTTCATGCACTTCAGAGGACATCGAGGAAAGCCGTCAATACCTTTCTTAACACGCTCTCTCAAACTTCCCTGTTGTTAAAAACATAAACATGATGGATCTTTTTTTTTTTAGACATTCCGCTGGTTTTTGTACGGTTACCACCTCAGACGGCCACGTCGTCAGAATGGGAAGGAAAAATAAGCGCGCTGAAGAAGTTATGCCCGCGAATTCCTCGATTTTGAGGTGTGTCCTGACGCAAGTTGTAGCGAGGACCACGTATGTATCTGTGTCGTTATTCTTTGAGTGATTGCCAATATCACAGCTATGAGGACCATCTGATCCGGTGTCCGATGGTGCTTCTTTTATAGTCACCGAAAAAAAAAAAAAACGGTAAACTGTTTTGAAAATAAATATACGCCGAAAAAAAACAACGAAAATTTAATTTTAAAATAAACACCGAAAAAAGTACGCCGAATTTCGAAAAAATAAAAACCGAAAACGCAGAACCTTACCTATAATGTACTACTATACACATGCACTAGGCCTCCTAATCCCTCCCCCCAAAAAATATTCCTGGCTACTCCATTGATTTTACGATTAAAATATTTGTTTATATTTATACTGCATCACATCGTATTGCAAGAAATAGTCAAATGGAGCACACCAATGAAGTGGCACTACCTCTCATTACGAAAACACACTTTCAAACTAGTACACGAGGCTTCCCCAAGGCCTCTGTCGAGTTCCTCCGCCCCGCAGACAAAGAGCCCGAGGCCTACCTTTCTCCTCGACCTGTGTGTGGAGCAGGGGCTCGGACGAAGAGGCGTCTCGCTCGGCAGTGGTGGTGGTGGCGCTGCTGGACAGCGTGGCAGTGGGTTCCGTCTTCTCGTCCTCGGGCAGGCTGGACACCGACACCTGGCTCGTGTCCAGGTCGGAGGCCCATGCTTCGGACTCCCCCGCCCTGGGGGCCGCTCCCGGACCTTGGCTGCCGGGCTCGTCCATCTCTGTGCACATGGGCGTGCATGAAAGAAATCGACGGATGTCTCTGTCACGCACCAGCAAGTTGGTCCCTCTAGGCACCGATAGCTCAAGCAATGTGGGGCGTGGATAGTTTCAGTGTTATGCGAATATTTGAATTTTTGAATAGTACGCTATTTGATACTTGCCTCGAAGTGACCTGCGATATTCATATTTGTCGAAGTCTTGATTGCGGCATTTTAGCCCCGTTGAGTGCGCTTCCTACCGAGCACCGGTGCACTGCGGAGAAGCAACACCTGCGGAGCTTGCTTTCCCGGGTGTTGTTTCTCCGCAGTGCACCGGTGCTCGGCAAGAAGCACACACAACGGGGCTACAATGCCACATCCAACTTCGATAAGTACAAATATTGCTGCTGCGTGCTTAGGACGAAAGCACACTTCCAAAGCGGGATAATGCACGGGCACACCTGGTGTATTTAGAAGGAATGGAAGCTTTATAAATGTTGATACCTACATTGCAGTAAAATTTTCAAAACTAAGCTGGCTGTTACGCATGAACATACGTTAGGCAGAGATGCCCCGACAACCCGCAGGGATCATTCACGACTGAAAAAGGATTACTTGCATGTAGCAAGAATATTTATAAATTACTAGATAAGGTATAGCTGAGCGTCTCTATAGGTTTAATTTAATGTCAAATGTGTTGTTTACTTGCCATCCCAATGTAGGCATTGGACTTTCTGAGGCCACATTTAAATAATATAGTTAGATTGAAATTAACTTAGCTTAGAAATGGACAAGTGGAAGCTTGGGAACAACCTTCACGAGTTCAGCTGGGTTGTCGTTTAAGCATGGTGCAGTAGCGAAAGGCTTAGAGAAACTATTCTATATTTGATTTGAAAATATTCGGCCAAAAGTACTTTTCGCTTCAAACTCATGCATACAGTTCTTGTTTGTGATTCATTCTTCAACGTTTTTATAGGCTAATTTTTTGTCAGTGACTGTACCGGCAAAACCACTGAAGAGCTGGAAACTTCTATCTCGAAACATAGTTCAGTTACGATGCCTACACTGTTATCATGTACAAAGATAGTAACATGCTTACGAGTGCACATAGTTACTCTTGCTCACAAAGAATTAGTTAGGTGTGAACCACCTATAAAAAAAAACTGAGATAACCAGGCTACAAGTGCAATGACTCCTGACCTGCCATGCAGTTACCCATGCCAGAAAGAACACCAATTCAGGATCTGGATCAGCACAATGCTCACAACACAACTCGATGCAATGACTCAAACGTACCACTGCCCATAGATGCACTCGTCACTCAGGCTAAAAGAATAGGAAATGTGATTATATTTGTAAACTTAGGATAATTTATTAGACAATAAATATTCAGACTGTAAACAGTTACAGAAGCTCCATTGTGTGGTGGAAGCATCAACTAAGCATTTCCAGAAGCGAATGCAATCAAACCAAGCACCTCAGAAATATAAATATGTTAGTTACTACACTTTAGACTAAGTGAAATGATAATTAGTAACAACAGTTATTTAAATACTTGTAAATAGTTACCGTATTTGCACAAATATAATGCGAGTTCTTTCTCGAAATAACGTGCTGCATAATGCACCTTGCATTATATTCGAAATCGAGTTCAGTCAGGAGGCGTGCGAGTCTGTGCTCAATGCAGGAGACCCGGCGGGAAAAAAAGTGGGAGTGTGGGAGGGAATTTGCTATGGGGCCACGCTATCCCTGCAATAGCTATTGGGCCACGTGAAGGAATAGAAAACAAAAAAAAATTTTTTTTCATCACTTATGTGTTTGTACAATGCGCCCGAAAAGCACGAAAAGCATGCAGCGTGGTGCCTAATGCGCACCACGCTGCCAAATGCGAGCACTGGCCAATTCAAGCCAAATCAAGCCAGGCCAAGTAAACACAAGCCAAGCCAAGACCCCCTACCGTGTTTATGCAATCTTGCAACATGAGGTGTTTGTTTACGCGGAGGAGCCAGAACAGAAGTGTTTGTTTATGCGTAGGGACCAGAACAAGAATGAGTGTGATTGTGTATAGGGTCCAGCAGTCTTTTTTTCTGCCTGCGCATTTCTTAGTTTCTGCTCCAGAGTGGCCTGGCGTTTGTATGTTGGTGATTCTGCTTCCTGCTTTGCTTTGCTTGTGGGGTGTGGAGAAACTCAGCGTAGAAAAAAAAAAAGGAACTACCAGGCAAGCTGCGCCCTGCTGCTGCATATCTGCAAAGTCTCCCTAAGTGGATTGCAAATGGAAGGAGCTGAGCAGTGAGGATGAGCGCAGTCAAAACATAAACTGATATTTCTTTGATTTCCATTCCCTTTTCACTTCCTCTATAACCCCCAAGTGCGGTACATTTACACAACCTCAACTCACATTATAATAACTTTTTTTTTTTGTTTTCCCTTTCTAGGGCATCAAAACCTGCCCTCGTTTTACATTTGTGCTGCGTTATAGTCGTGAAAATACGGTACTTTACAGCTCTGGAAAGTTGAAACTGATGTAGGGCTTGGGATTATAGTATACTTGAAATGTTGAATGGCTTGCTAGTAGCAGTGTACTAAAAGTAATTTTAATATAGGGAGCATTGTTATGTCTATTTACACAATCCCTGAATGGGAAGCTTCGTTACTAATGAGCACATTTCAAGGTACATAATTAGAAATTACTGGCACTGCACTTCCTGTCTTATTGCACCCTTTTACTCTGCAGAAAATATCCTGGAAATAACCGCAAAGCTTCATTCGCATAAATGTTCCATTCTACAAGAGTTTGCAATGTCTCTATTGCAAAGTCTAGCAATTTAGTGGAGTGTTAAGACTTGACTGTGTCACTTATAAAAATGTATTTTTTTTCATCTTAACAAGGCTTCACGACTGGCCTTTACCAAAGCCACATAACTAAGGGTACAGCAAACGAACTTGAATATCTAACAACCAATATTTCAAACTTAAATATTGAAATTTTTCCTTAAAGAAGTCATGAAACGCTTTTTCAACTTTTTTCTGTTTAGCTTTCCTCCTCAACTCATAAATCGCACATTGTACCAAACAGTTCAAGAAGTCTGAAAGAAGGGAGTCCCCTCTTGCTCGGAATCTCGCTTGTGTAGCCCGGACACAGCCATTGTCCCCCTAGAAGATTAGCCCGTCGCTCAAATTTCCGACTAGTTGCTTTCCCCACCCCGTTCACCCCGAAGCTGACAGTGCTGTGGAAGCTACGTGCTCGTTGGGCCAGCCACACATTTTCCACGTGATCACGCCCTCTCGCGCATACCGACCCGCAGAGAATGAGGTCAGGTGATGAAACGGAGGCGGCTGATTGGTCCGGCAAGCGCGTAGCTTCCACCGCAATGTCAGCTTAGGGGTAAAGGGATTAAGTGAGGTCCGGTGTCGTGTGACGTGCGCTTGGGCCCTGGTGACGCGCTGCGGGGGCCTCGTTATGGTGGCTAGTAGCCCGGTGACGCGCTGCGGGGTCTGCGGATGTATCACAGTGAAAAGGCGGAGAGTTTACGAAGGGAAGGAGGTACGAAATAGTCCGCTATGTTTTGCAAATTTTTGTAGCGAAAGTCAGGCTTCTGACTTTCTACCTTTGTTCTTTTGGCCCACTGAACGATGTGCTCTTAGTAAAATCCCAATATAAATTGATTTACTCCAGCCCAAAATTCGTTTCATGGGTCCTTTAATAGCTGGAGCACAAAATTTTTCCCCCAGCAGACATCAAGCTAGCTCACCCTGGAAGATAGTGGTCTTAGTCACCGTCGTTACGGTGTGCTTGACCGTGCCATCGTCGTGTACATCTTTCACCTGCGTAGAGGTCACTACGGTGTCCTCGGAAGGCTTGGTCCTGAATGCCATTGTCTTAGCCAATGGTTCGTCTGCAGGGGGTAGGCAAAGGAACCAGGGACAAGCACCATTAGTCATGCAACCATGCAACCATACAGTTGAGAACCTATATTTACAAGAACACACTCAGGCCAGTCATCTAAAGTGCTTGACCAATGCAAAAGAGATGAATTCTAACGCGCACAAAAAAACACACACGAAACAAACATGTCAAACGAAGCAAGCGAGCAAACAGCCATACTCTGATCACACACTAAAAAACAAGTTTTCTTCCAACCGGCAGAATATTAAAACCAGCTCCCAAAACAGGATCACAACATGCACGACTGTCTCGTACAAGCCAAAAAACAGAAAAACTTGAACAAAAACAAGACACTAAACAACCATCCAATCAGGACGCACCACCAGCGCATAACAACATCGTTACAACACAGATTCAAGCTTCTGCCTCGTTCCACATGCCAACCAAGGAGGTTCCATGGGGAGCATGCAAGCCACTGCAACTGCAAAAAGCAGTCCAAACTTGTATGGCATGACAGATACCTTTCTTGTGCAAACCAGTTGTTGGAGAAGGGGGTGGGGTTTTTGTGGCTTTTGTAACCTTGTGTGCTCCTGCTGGCAAGGCAAGGAATACGCCCAGTCAAATAACGGTTCTAGGTAATTGCATAAAATTTTACGCTGCAAATACTAACTTTTAAAAAAGTGCAGAGATGGCATTTTAAGGACAAATTAAGTGTAGCCTCCTGGTGACACTCAAATTTCAGAGTCTGGATGTTATCAAGGTAAAAAAAACACCAAAACTATCTGACTAATGGGATCAAGCTATGTTATGGGAAACCAAGAGTAGAAAAAGTGCAACTTCAGTTTGCACTCATACAATGATGCCCAGATACTTGAAGTGTTGTACTGGAAACTTTTTCTGTTGTTCTTAGTGAAATAGTTGCTTCTAAACCAAAACTCCAGCATCAGACAGCAGTGTATAGCATTCATTTGTTGACTCGCAAGGCCCAATCATCACACAAGTTTCCCCAGTTTGTTTAGATCACAATGATTTTTTCTGTGTAGTTCATTTCCAAAGAAATAAAGTGCAGCATTTTCACCACTATACCTTCCACCTTCTGACAAAGCATCAGGGCTGACAAAGCACTGAGATATTACTCTGTCAGCATGATGCATGTAGATTAGGTAAAAAAAAAACAGGCCAAACTTCAATGTTTTTGGAGGTGTCACAACATTCTAAATGCTTTTGGAGCTAAATAAATTTACATAAAATAAATTCTTGGAAGTATAGAAAAAGAAAGTGACCCAACAGAACACAGCCCAAGCATAGGTGATGACAGTTTACATATACCAAGTGTTTCATCAGACATCATAAAAAATAAACTTCCCTGTGAAAACTGCATTGCACCGAAAACCAGGTACCTAGTGCAGTACCCGAGAGACCAATTTATAAGGTACATACCATTTTTAATAATTAAGTCTCTAATTTCGTTTGCTCAATTAGCTTTTTATTAGTAAAAATAATCATATGATTCCAATTAGAAGCTTGCCAAGCTCATTTGAAGACCATATCAGTAAAAAGACCCAGTGTGTGTGGAAAATGTGACGCTACATAAAAGGTACCGCATGTGCTACAGGAGCAAGGCTGGCAAAACAAAAATCTGGTTAAGAGACAAAAACTGTGCATATGCATCAGGTTTATGATGATGTCCCGCAAGTTTCTAGTTGGAACTAGAATGCCGTATAATATCGCGGAAGTACCCACTTTGTTAAAGCACCTACTATTAATATTTCCCAAACTTGGGTATTCTGTGAATTATATGTTAAGCACCCTATTTGACCGGACAAGTGGCGATGTCTACATTAAAACAGTTTTCAGTGAAAGTGGGGCGGGTGCCTCCTTGGCATTTTATGATATGTTAATTTTTAATAATTAAAAAATTAATTATGCAATACTAAGTCACAGTTAATCCTTGTAAATGCTATCTGCCTCGATAAATAAGCCCAATCACCGTGACTTAATATAGTACCTATCTTATTTCTGCTGATATGCAGTTTTCGCAGGAAAATTTGGGCCAACCTTTGGTGAAACACTTTGTGTACGCTCACAACACCTATAAAAGGACCCAGTCGTTCTGTTCCCTATAGACTGCAGGTAAATATTAAGACACCTTTCTCTCCCTTACAACAACATTATCAATGTTGGAACATTCAAGAAATCAATCTAAAACTTTTCGTCACTAACAATGATACTAGTAACCATATTACATGCGATATCAGAAAAAAGTATAATTTTGAAATAGATTCCAGGAAAAAAACACATTTCAGCATCTCTAAATCAAGAGCATTGTCAGCAGCTGCTATCAGCAACCTGGCCTCTGCATCTCTTCCAATGCCAAAAAAAATTATTGATTCACACAGTGCATTGCTGCGTAATACTAAATTTTATATCATAACAGTCTATGCACTGACGAAATTTCAATTTCTAGTTACAAGTACACTACAACAGCCTATGGGGCAGGAGCCAAACAGACTGTTGTAGTTCTACTTCACAAGCAATGCTGCAAACAAGTGCACAAACAGCAAGTAAAAAAACACAAATTACAGCATAACTTTCACAAGCAACAAAACAAGGCATATTAAACATAGTGGTATGATCGTTATATGCCCAATGATTGCCGAAAACACCTTTCAAACATTTTTTTTTCCCTATGCAAGACTGGGATCAAGTTTTCAGGAACAGCATAAAAACCTGAATGTATATCGAAAATTCACAATGGTACAGCCCAAAGCGAACATAGAGCAGCAAAAGGCATTTCAGAGTCACAGGCAATTTTTCATTGACAATTTATCCAAAACTTTTGAAAGTGACATAGGAGCATAAAAAGCAGAAGACATGGAAAAACAAAGGGCAAATTGCATCATAAAAGCCACGACCAAAGAGCAGTTTGGTAAAAAAGAAATATGCATAACTTAAACAAGGGTCAAGACAAAAATTTGTGAAAGATATGACTGCCACATCTGTTGTTACAACAAACCATGTATCCAATCTTTTGTTTTTCCTTTCCATGTTTTTTTTTTTAGATGATTTTTACGCAAAGTATTACTTTCATACTCCGGCACCAGATTTATAATACATGAATTCTGATGTGCTTTTCACATCCACATGAACATGTTTTTTAAGGCATAGCTAAAATATGTTAAATCCCACAACAAAAAAGTGTTACCAATTTCCAGGTACTTACCGTAATTGTCAATGAGTGCTTTACAAAACTACCAGTAATAGTAACTTAATGTAGTAGTAATCCTACTATTTTTATAAGTTTAAATTTTCCACAATTAATACAAACATTTTTTTATGTTGCAGTTGGTTTAAGAATAAAACAAAGCTATAATCTCTTTCTTAACCTTTCAAGGGATACACACCAACTCTAAAACATTTCATCTAAGTAGGGAGTTTCATGGTATTGATCATAAGCAGGGGTTTTGTAAATTTGTTTATATATTCACTGAGGCCTCTCTACAGTGCAAAGATAAGCTGCAGAACATTAGTAATGACACATCCACATAAGACAGTGTAGTTATAGATACTTGTGTGCAAGCAAACATTTTTTTTTTTTATAAAACTGGCTTTAATAGAAAGAGGTCTGAAATCATGATATAAAATTTTCTCACTGTGCCATAGAGGCTGGAAACACCCAAAACACAACAAAATCACCAATCAGCATAGGAACAATGCAGAGACTGACAATAATTAAAACCTAGACCATGGGTTAGCAGGACAAAACACCAGCAGGCAAACAATGCAAAAAGTATGCAATCATTTTCTTTAACGAGCACATCAAGAAAATTATGCCCATTATGATGACCAATGTTAGACAGCACAGGGCAATACAATCTGCCAACAAAAAACCCATGCAGTTTCCAGGCTTCATGATAAGAACCTGCATAACCCTAAGAGAGTGTGGTTAATGTCAAACCCAATCCGGTAGTGGAGAAAGACACCAAGGCTAATAAGATGAATTTAGGGCAATAAAATACAGCTGCCACACTTGCGAGTAAGAAAATAAAATGCTATCCCTGCCTCATCATTTTTCTTCAGCTATGACCTTTGTCATCTCATATATGAAGCCATAGAGGTAATTATACTAAGCCCTGGTTTAGTAACAGAAGGCATGAATACAATAAATGACCCACAGGACAGAATGGGAATCTATCTATGATACATTACAACTCTTGATTACACTAGTTGGATTAATCATTAATAAATAGCATGAACAAAGACAGAATAAAAGTGATAGTTATTGTCATATCTGTGCCTTTTTCTGCTCCTTGTTTTTGCTACTTAGCAATCACAGTCAATGTTGTACTAAGAGACATGAAGAAACTAAGCTTTACCCCAAAATTCACTTTATCCTGCAGAACATGTGTGATAAGTGGCTCGACTGTATGGGGAAATTATCTTGGCCATATCGATTCATGGAACATAATGACTGGTCAACTGTTTTGAGTGATCATTGTTGTATTTAAATTTTTCAGTTTCTATATACACTACCTAGATGGCGCCACTGTCCACCATTGCGCCCGTGTGTCAGGGTCGCGTCCCCGTGGCGCTTGACCTTCCATGTTGTTTTCCGTTATATAAATGAGTACGCCACCAGCCACCATCCGTGTCGGACGCCTCTTTCCTTCCAGGGCCTTCCCGCACCCCCGGCCCCGCCGGTCACCACCTTGTCATGTGAGACCTCTAGCCTTTTCCGCAGGCCCACGCAGGAACTGCTCTCTTTCATTTTACGGGTGACCGCCTTTTTTTTATTTACAACAATCATGTTGTCAAATCTGTGACCAAAACATTTACTACATCTAATGACAAGAATCCCATAGAAGCATTTGCTCCAAAATGGCGAACATGTCCTGCTCGTTGTCCCAGTTGGTTTTCAAAGGATTTAAATGCATTACAAAAAAAATTGCATTATCACCAAATGTAGAAAAAAACAGGTGTGGACCTATGGCATTAGAAGTTCAGTATATATCGTTGTCTGGACAAAAACCTGTATGATTAAGATTTAACAGTATCTACTTGAGTACCATCGAACACAGTGTAAACAATTCTGACACTTTGCTAAACAGCACTTGCGTGAAAAAGAACAAAATATATGTCTTTGTGATGACTCCGGTAATCACTTTTTGCCAGCCAAAACCGCAAATTGTTTTGCCGACTTCTTTTGTACCTGTTATCCCCCTGTGAATCAGTGTTACTTGAGGTCCCGTCGGTGTTAATTTCCCAAATGTTTTTTTTTAATGATAACTGTAGACGACGAGGATATTTTAGAAGTCATAAATCAACTGAAACCTAAATTATCATTGCGTGTTGATGGTATATCTACTTTTATTATAAAAAAAATTGCTGTTATTTATTCGCCCCCGTTCTTAGGCGCTCTCTTGCACAGGGACAATTTCCTGAGCTTTGGAAATTCTCTGTCATGGTTCCTATTTTTAAAGCCAGTGATTCTACCTTAGTCAATAATTACTGTCCTGTTTCACAGCAGTGTGGATTCGCAGTAGTGTTCAAACTGTACATGAGCATGTTTATTTTTGCTCGAACTCGACGATACCTGAAGTTCAACACGGTTCCTAAAGGGTAGGTTCGTGGAATCAAATCGAACAAAAGTGCCGTAAGGGCACCCACCCCCGGGAGATTGCTCGTCCCATTTTTCTCGCTAAATGTCCGTAACCCAAAAATTCCGAAACATTGTCTACCCCCCGATTCTCGTAGGAATCGCGCAATGTTCGACGAATCGCATCAACTGTGCAATCTTCGGTACCGGTAATTGTGACCAGCTGGTTCGCAGCGGGTTCCTGCGCTTTTGTCTGCAACCTGCGCACGCAGTCTCGGTCTCCATGACGTGCAAGTTTGCAGCGAGTTTCAGCGTTTTGTGCCGGCGACCTGCGCGCGCAATATTGGTTCCCGTGGCATGCAAGTTTAGTCTGTTTCCGCATGTTTATTGCGCCATAAAAAACTAATCTGCTGCATCCACAGTCTGCAATATTCTTTCCCGTGACACGGGGGTTTGTATCGAATTCCCGCTTGTTTATTGCGTTGAAACGCTAATTTGCTGTGTCCACGATCTGCGGTATCAGTTTCCGTGTCACGTGGTTTGTAGCAGGTGCCTCTAGTGTTTATCATTATTTTGTTGCTGTCTGATTTCCAAAGATAGCCCACCTCATATTTTTCACCATTTATCCCTTCATTTTGGATGGGTGCCCTTACGGGATTTGACCGTACGCTTGTTTTTGGGTTACACTGCTCCAGTTGTTTCCAGTAGAAGAGAAGTTAACACTATATATTTTGACATGACAAAAGAGTTTGACCATGTTAGTAATGACTTGTTACACAAGCCTGCCTTAAATAGTTTCAGCCCACATACGGTATGCGTGACTGGTTTACTAGATGTCCGAGTGGTCGCAATTCCGTTCACATTTTTGACAGCTACTCTGAAAATTTACTGAGATCCGGAGTGTCTCAGGACTCAATCCTGGGACTTTTGTTTCTAAACATTATTGTTCATTGTGTAACCAATGCAAAGTTTCTTCTATTTGCTTTTATTAGGTGGGAAGTCGGTATCTGATTGTTATCGCCTTCAAGCCGATATAGACCATGTTTTGAAATGGAGCTCGAGAAGTTGCTTATACTTAACTTCCAGAAAACTAAATGTATTGTACTTTATAGAAAGAGCACAGTCATCTTCTTTTCTTAGATATGGGAGGCATCTTGATTCCCAGGGTATCTTTAATCAAGAATCTTGACATCTGTGTTGAAAGTTTACTTTCTTCTAGTAACCATGTTTCTGTCACTGCGAATGCAGCATTAAGAACATTAGGCATAATTTCACAATTGTGTCGCCAATTTTCAACACCTTTCTGCCTATTGCACTTGTATAAATCTTTTGTTTGATCATGGCTGGAAATTGGCTCCGTCATTTAGAATTCCTTAACCATATCACAAATCCTTGCACTAGAAAATGTACAAAAACTAACCACTAGAATTTTTGTATGCCAGTTTCATTAGAAGATGTTTCTACCATTATGAAACTTTACTACACCAATTTTTGTTGTCCGAGTTTGCTGTAAGGAGGCAATTCCAACTTTTCATTTCAGCACAAAGCTGTTCATGGCAATGTGAAATCAACTGATATATTAAGGTCAATAGATTTTCGTGCCCCGCCTCGAGTCAGACAAAGCTTTTAAACCTTCTATCCGTCATGTATGTCCTCTGTGCCCCCATTAACAAGAATTCAAAATGATTATAACAATGTGCATCAAGATAACACATTGATATCTTTTCCCTGTTTTCATGATTTTAATTTAGATATGCATAAATAGATGTCTTCTTTCTGAGTATGCCAATGCATGTTTTGTATCTATTTTAGTTTTGTTTCTCTAGCATTTTTTTTTTAATACAGGTTTCGTGTTTGATGTCAGTGTAGTATGCACCAGTCAGAAAACCATGTTTGTGGGCACAATTGTCAAATCAATAATTATTGTTATATTACTACTATAACTATCATTAGGTCTCCTGGCAACACGTCTGCTGCAACTTCAAGCTTACCAGAAGGTCTTGCTTTCAAACTCTGACAGTTTAAACTACCCTCACATTTCATTTATTATGCTTCGAATGAAATTCATCCCCAAAAAATAACCCTACCCATTTCCTTCCGAAGTAGTGTTGCTGGGGAACTGCCGAAACATAACTCACCACTAGAAATCACCTGATTGAATAGGCAATCTGAGTTCGGCCAGTGGCAGTGATGGTTTTCTATGAGAACTTAAAGGATAAGTGAGCAAACAAAGTTTTTCCTTCATCTTCTGAATAATATGATGCTTGTGGCACAGTCAAGGGCAGCAAATTTACATAGTGCGAGACCGCTGGCATGAGCAAACAATCGTCACTTTTTTTCTGCTTTTCTCTTAGAATCGAAAGGCTGTTATCAAAAATGCTCATGTAGTGGAAGGTACTGATTTGAGGAACTAACCTAAGCGGTACAATTTTGTGCCCACGAATACCTTTCCAAGTTAAATGTGGAAAAGCAACGATGTCGTATTTGTGCTAATAGTGCCATGTAATGCATGTACGAGTGTACGAGAATCGAAGTTAAGCAACATACTATATACAAACGTTTTTGGTAGCTTGCCAAATGTCAGTTTTTCCCCCATATCTTTTCTCTTCCCAGTTTGTCCTGCGTGGACTACCTCACGGGATGTTGCGGTAGTGGTCATTTTTTGTACTTACTTCCTTCTTTCATTCAAAGCCAAACACTATATATATATAAAAACCAACACAAAAGAGAATATTTGCAGAAGAAAAGCAAAAGAGAAGATGAAGACAATGCTGCAGCATGTCTGTAAGCATTTCATATACAATGTCTGATCTGTTCCCACCAACGCTCACTCGTTGCAAATGGCTGCTGTCAAACAACAGCAATGTGCACAGTGTTCTCCTGATGTTAGTGTATGCAGGGATGCAGATGGGGTGATGGATGGAGAGAGCAGAGTCCTAGCCTAGAGAAGGAGCGGGGCTTGCTGGGGACAAGACACGAGAGGCGGTGGCAAGCTGCAACCAGTGGTCTGGCCTACCTGCAAGCACCGAGGGCACATCGTCCCTGGGCGGATCAGAGATCCTCCTGGGCAACTCCAACCTCTCAATCGGAGGTTCTGCCACTTGGCCCTTCAGGTCCTCTGTTGAAGCACGGAGTCAATTGTCAGCCAAGCACTCCTCCGCCGACGTCCGTTCGTCCTTGTGACGCGGTATCTTCGCATCTCTCTCAACATTAGTGCTTGCTAAACTCTTCCGAGCCACTCTGCAGGAGTAGCTTGAAACTGCTAACACCTCTGAGTTGCTGCTGTGTTTGAGGAAAGCACTTCACCAGAAGTCATCCTAAGTGGCACGTCTATGCACTGTGTCCCTTGCATACTCGAGCCGCTGGGGTACTCATTATATAAACAACTTAAAAAAAGAATGTTCCAAAACAAAAAAAAACAAGGTTGATACTATCTTCTTAGTGATGCTCTAACAAGTTTGCCTTTGTTGCACTGCAGAAGCTTGTCAATAGTCATTTGGTAAAGTTATGAACATATTTCCAAAGTACTGTAAAACCCTTAGGGTTTGCGAGCCCTTCATTTTTGGAAAATTCACGAATTGAAAAATTTGTGACATTTAAGGGCACGCGAAAAATTTGGTTTTTAAAGGGGCACTGACACTCCAAAGGTCGTATTCTTTTTTTTATTGTCTAAAACGATGCAAGTTGTAGTCATAAACACGCCAAAAAAACCGCATCGCGAAAAAAAAATTTCTTTGCGCGAGCGCGCGCCTTTTTATTTTTGGCGTTTATATCTACCGAGCTCACCTCCTTGCTTCTTTTGATCGGTGACGTCAAAAATCAGGAAATTTAGAAGCTTTGTAGGCGACATTTCTATAACATTTAATAACAGCAATCGTAAAACATGTTTTTTTAACGCAATTGCAAATGCACTACGGCCTTTCTTTTTGAAATACCAAAAATCAGATTTCGGTGTGATGTCGCTTCCTGGATTTGTATCCTCCCTCGAAAAACTTGGCGGCGCTCGAGCAGAGGCTTATCACCGAGTCGGGGAAGAAAACGGTCTTTTGCCACGTCGGCACCCTCCTATCCCGCCTGCTCACCTCCTCCTCGCTTCGGGTTGCGGTAGCAACGGCGCTTTGGAGCGGAGGTCTGAAAGAAAGTCGAGTCGCAGGATACCGCAAAATTTGACTCACTGCACTGCCGCGGATCGCGCGGGAACTTGAAATTCGGCATTTGGAAATTGTTTTTTTTAATTCAGAAATACTGAATTCCCAAGTTTCGAATTTTGAGGGTAACGTCCCGGCATCATTTTCAATCGTTTCGGATAATAAAATAAAATATGATTTTGATGTGTCAGTGCCGAGTTTCAATGCAGGCGTCTGAAATTCACGAACTTTAGTGGCCGTGATTAGTCCTCTTTGACTGATTCGCGAAAAATAGGGGCCACGAAAATAGAGGGGTTTACAGTACTCTTGAACAAGATATTGCATTTCTCGAGCCAATTTTAACAGCCCGGCATTCTTCTACCAAGAGAGCTTGCCAGCTGGACACAGCTTGATAACACTAGCCAAAAGTCGGTTGCAATGACCGTCACCAAAGCTTCAAAGCGCTTTCTAATAAACATGGCTCAAATGACATGAGAACAAGCAATCTTGTGCTGTAAACAGCAGGGAGATATCAGCCTACTTGTAGGTGGGGCAGGAGAAGTAATACTAATCAAATTTTAATATCTTCATATCCGAAATGGGGTTGTACTTCACTTGGCTATATTTTGGAACACATCAGAAAAAAATGTGCCACATATCTGAATACAGTTGAACCCCGCAATAACAAAACCGCCGAGCAAAAAAATTGTTTTCGTCCTCGCGAGAATTTTGCTGTTGAAAAATAAACAAATAAGCACACCTATTACTTTCCATGATACTGTCCTTGGATTTCAGAATCGTAGAAAGCAAGCGGCACGGGATATTGAATTCCTCCGCAATATCCGACTTCTTTCTGCCTTTCGCAGCTTCGGCGATGATCGCAGACTTCTCCTGAAGTGTTAAAAACTTGCGCTTTTTAATGGGAGGTGGCATCTTTCTGACAGGCCAAACAAAAGGTAGTAAACAAAGAGCGAGCGATCTCGGCGTGCACGCGGCAGATGGCGAAATGGCAGCGGGCGGCCGGCGGTGTTGTCACGTGAAACATCACATACCTATGTAGTTGCCAACAGATAAGCTAGCAAAACGCTGTTTTCAAAAAAAAAAAATCTTGTTGTTATTATTATTATTATTTTACAGAATGTAAACAGCAATGGCCGCGCTAATGCTTGTCGGAAACGTATGTGCCCGACTTGTTGAATGAGTGTGCTTCTCCACTTTTTATACTTCTGGGTTCCCAACTGGCTCATGTGCCGAAAAAATGTTGATCACTACCTCAAACTTTCGTTATTGTGGGACTGCTTTTTAAAAACTCTTCGCTGTTGAGAGGGTGCAAATGCATTAAACTCTATGGACGTACGCTGGGGCCACCAAATTTCTTTGTTGCAGCGAGAATTTCAATCTTGAGGGCTTTCGTTATTGAGGGGTTCAACTGTGTTACTGATAAGGTCATACTGTAGAAGCCAATGCCACCATGACAGAATACTTCATTAGGGGTCATGATAAAAAAAAAAGCCTAGTACAATATTACATTACAAAGTTTACTGTTCATGCGTGAGTTATAATTGGATAAGCTTTAAAGCTACTACGTCTTTTTTATCCAGTCATGAACTAGGCAAACTTATTATATTCTGGCCCAACAATAAAAAGGAAATAAAATGACAATTTTTGAAGCAGACAGTCACTCAAAGTAGAAACTAGTATAATGCGCAAACGCATTCGAGTGTGTGTGTAGGAACAGGAAAACTATATTCCAAACTAAATGAAGATAGACTCAATAAAAAAGTTATGGCTGGTTGCACAATCAGAAACTCTGCTACAATCTTCTTAGTGCTGCTAATGAACCCTTTTCATGCCAATGCCTGTCCGCCACTGTTTGCTATCATACTCTGAGCACGTATTGGACACGAGGGCTGTGCCAGCGTTAAGTGTGAGCTCAGCTTACCTCGTACTAAAAACAAGCGCAGCATCAGCGTTCGGCAAGAACGCGGATTTAATTATGCATTTCGTGTCCAAGCAATGGCAGCCGTCAATGTTGCTTCAGGGACATTTGAAAAGGGTCTATTGCTTTCAGACAAATTCAAAATTGTTTCCCAGTTGTGCCACACACATCTCTAGAAGGCACAGCAGACATCGTAAAACCACAACAAAATCCTGCTTCTCAGGAAACAACAGCCAGAAGGGTTAGTCGTGTGCTAGCTAACCAACAATAACACGTCGAGAGAAATGTGCAACATTCCCCCCCCCCCCGGCACTCTACCTAAGTCACGCCTACTGCACACACTGTCCGACAACAAAACTAAAACCAAAGACATAGCCAATACCTTCAGATGGGGTCACGACAGCCTGACCTCTTGTCGGTGATGGGGCATCGAGGTCGTCCTGGCTGAGCGCTCGGCCGAGCGTAAGCAAGATGCGCTCCTTGGTCTCGGGGTCAACGGGCGATGTGGCCTCGGCAGTGGTCCAACCCCGGTACTCGGGAATGATGGCCGCTTCCGGCGTGCGGCTTGCCGGAGGATACATCGTCACTCCAGCCCCTTCTTGCTCCGGGAAGAGTTGGGCCAACAACTCCGCTTCTTCCGCCGTGACCTTGCCAGCAGCTCCACGAACTTTAGCAGGGGTCAGTACATCCTTCAGGGGACTGTCCTTGGGCTGAGACGGCTTAGTCTCGCTGAACATCTTGTCCAGAAGATCGGCCGAAAGGTCATCCTTACCTTTGGGGGCCGTGGCAGAGGTTACAACCGAAGTAGTGGTTTGTACTATTGCATCGGGTCCAGAAACTTCCTTCTTGATGACTGTTGTCCTGGTGACTCCTGGGAGCGTTCTGTCTATGCCCTCCGGAAAGTCTGACAAGGCTTCGCTGACCGTTCTTTCGGAGGTTAAAGAGCCTGGAGGAAATTGGGATGACAGCGAGTCCCCAGCTTCCACACTAGGAGTTGTACTAGTGACGTGTTTCGTGACAGACACGACTTCCATGACTCCGCCCGGAATTTCTTTCACCTCTCGTTTGACAACAGCAGATGGGTCTTCCTTGAATTTTGCGAGGTCACCCATCTTTGGAAAGAAGCTGCTATCTGAAGGTTGGCTCTCATCCGGCTCGACGGGTTCAATTTCCTCCGTGACACCTTCTGGAGTGGACGTGATGGTTCTCCGGACGACGGTTGGCTTGCCGTCGATAATCTGAGTTTCGATCCTCTGCGTAATGCTTGTATCACAAACAGATTCGCCCAGCCCCGGAAGATCACTGGCCTGGGGAAGTTTTCCAACCTCGTGCGTGGTGACCTGGACAACCTCTACGTGACCTCCTGGAAGTTCCTTGACTTCGCGTTTGATAATGGTGGATGGCGCTGCCCCAGAAATTTGTGATTCGGCCTCCCAAGGAATTTGGGTTTCTGGGAACTTTCCGTGCATTGGGGAATGTTTGTCTTCCAGAGCCTTGCCCACCTGGTGCTTGGTCACTTCGACAACCTCGACAAGTCCTCCGGGCACTTGCTTCACTTCTCTCCTCACCAGAGTGGACGGCTCTCCTTCGGTAGCTCCTGGTGCCTTGGCTAAGTCTGCAATTTTGTCTCCAAGCACAGAGGGGCTTTCGCCTTCGGGAAGTTTACCCACCTCGTGCTTCGTTACACGAACGACTTCCACGAGACCCCCTGGTGTTTCTTTCACTTCCCGATGCACCACTGTGGATGGGTCCCCCTCCAAGGCACCCACGGAAAAGGTCCCATCGATCTCCGGCATCCTGCCGATGTCGTGCTTGGTAACTTCGACGACTTCCATCAGGCCTCCGGGTGTCTCCCTGATTTCCCTCTTCGTTGTCACAGACGGCTTCTCTGCGCTGGCATCTGCTTCTGGTGGCGACTTTTTTTCGGGACTCTTGCCTTTCACTTTTGTCGGGGATTCCTCTGGTCCCTTTGCCACCTCGTGCTTGGTCACCTGGACAATCTCCACAACTCCACCAGGCGTTTCCTTCAGCTCCTTGGCTGGAGAGCCCTTAGCAGCACCAGGCTCAGCTGCTGAAACGGTGGGAGCTCCCTTTTCTCCTTTTCCCTTCTTCCCGAGCTTGGGAAAAAGATCTGTCACCTTGCCAACCTGATGTTTGATGACCTCGACGGTCTCCACAATCCCGCCGGGCGTTTTCTTCACGTCCCTTTTCGGAACGGGAGGTGGGGCACCCCGAGAGATTTCCTCGGGTTTGGAGTTTGACAGCCCATTTTCTCCTGGTGTCTTCATCGCTGAAGATGCTGGAGGTTCCTTGGCTGCCTCAGAAGACGGAACGTGGGGAACCGTTTCCACAGACTTCTCTTTGGGTTCCGGCGTCTTGCCTTTCTTTGACCCGACAACGGACGCCGCCTGAATGACCTCCTGAACCACAACGTCCTTCTCTAGAGAGCCCGAACGTGGCGAACCGTGACCAGACTTCTTAGTATCCGACTTATCTGAGGGGGGGCTTGCGGGCAATGGGGGGCTCTTTTCCTTCTTGCTCTTCTTCTTGCTATCCGGTGGTGTGGCAACGGGACTTGCCTCCCTGATCGTGCCTTCCTTCATCTTTTCTGAGCGCTCTCGCTTCGGCGTGGTAGGCTCTTCGTCAAAGTTTTCGGCAATGGCCATCGTGGGGGCGGCCTTCTCCTTCGAGCTTCCTCGAACCAGGCGCCCCAGAACGGCCGAGATGGGGGATCCCTTCCTGGAGCCCTTGCCTTGCCCTGTTGTTCCCACAGACATTGTAAGTCACGAGAAGGGCAGCTTCTTTCGAAGCTCCTAACCTATGTTGTTAAGCTCCAAGCAATGCACATGGGCCTATAAAATATGACTGATGAGTTTTGCGAATACCCAGCTCATTATTGGGACTAACTACCTAGTATGTCGCAGAAGGGACCAGCAAACTCTCCTTCTTTAAAAACCTTTACATTTTGTGCTGTGCATGCTTGAAAGGTTTCTGCTACTTTCTATCGAGTCATCCCAGAGGTAGTGGTGAGGTGAAGAAAACAAGCTGTAAAGCACAGCTTGCGCAATGGTGGCGGCACATGCATTTAGTACCCACGCAGCCAGCAGCACACCGAGTGAAGCATGGTAGACACCGGAGGAAGCAGGTTCTCAGTGCAGCACTGGCAAATTCTCAGCTCACAACTGAGACAGAAGAATTGCCATGGTAATTCCACGATGCAATATCATTTCAACGTTGTCTCTATTAAGGATTGCTGGTTACTGGAAATCCTAGTGCAAAAACATTAGCTATCAAATCGCTAGTTTGCCGACGACAAAGCACTAATGAACCAGCATATCATAAAATATGAAAAAATACGTGTTCACTCAAAATCAAAAAAACATTATTACAAAAAAAAAAAAAAAAAAGACAAAGCTGATATTTGAGGCATTTTTAGTTGATGTAAACAAAAGTGTGCAAGTGCCTGGGCACATGGCCACAAAGCCAGTATATTCTGCTTTTGCACAGGGACACTTAAAAACTCTGCTTAGTCCTCTCCTGGGATCTTTCACCATTGACACAAAAATGCTCCCTTTTTCTTAAAATTATTAGTCCAAATTTAGAGAAAAAAGAAAGACACATTTCAATGTGATTCACACTGTCAGCAGCATTCCAGCAATGACCAGACTGTTAAAAATAAGCATTGATAGGGTTAGCTAGGTTAGAAGTAGAAAAGCACTTAGAACAGATATTATTTTCAGGAGTACCATGACAAAGAAGCAGCAGCAACATGAACAGAAAACTGACACCGCCAACTGCTACACGGCACAGGCACACTCACAACACAAGCAAACAAATGTGAACAAAAAGCCAGCAATGATGGTAAGGCTGGCTATGAACTCCCTTCTTTTAGGCTACATGGAGCTTCTCACAACACAGAGGCAAGAACAATATTGGAAAGGAGATGTTCATGAATCCAGTTTTATAAGCACAGGTGAGAAAAAGGTAAACGTTTTTAAATTACATGTTCCAAATTGTTTTGACTTTCTTACTGTCAAAGGCGAGCACAGTTTGTCTTCTCTGAAAGCTGGATAGTAATCTCATATTCTAATTTTGCTATTTTGTCATACAAGCATACCCACAGCGAGAGCTACTTCGAACGCTATCAGCTTAAGCACCTAGCTTTCAAAAACTCTTAAATGGTAGACAAACTGTGCTTCATATGGCATTAAAAGGGTTAAAATAAGCGATAAGTTTAATCTCATAAAAGTACTAAAAGTTCTTACTTTTAAGATTTTCTTTTCACACGGTTGTCATAGCCAGACTTAAAAAGTTGGAGCAGCAAATTTGCTAAATAAAAGTGTGAAACAAGAACATATCTATGCCCATTTTTAAGAGAGCTTCATCACAAATCACACAAACGCATCAATGCGTGGCTAGTCAGCAAATATTGTGTTAGGCATATGTCAATGGTTGGCAGGAACGCAGAAAGCATACAGTCAACTCATAAAATCCCCCACAAGACACTTTTGTGCAACCATAAAAAGCTTGCACCATTACTACTCAAGTGACCATGATACACAACAATGGCTTTGCAGAAGCAGCAAAAGTGAGATGTCAGTGGTGAGAAAACATGTACCCAGACCCTTTGAAAGACAAGCTACTATAAACTTCCTTTCCAGGACACAAAGGGAAAACAAGTCAATGGGTAGTATAATACTATAAGAATACTATGAGTGTGTGGTATGATCAAAACATTTTACTTTCAAGTTCAACAGCACTCTTTTCTACAAATCTGTAGGAGAGACCTTTGAAGAGATGGCAAAAATATTTTTCATATCCTTTTGGAAACCACTAGATATGAAAGTGCATTCCACAACATCCAGAAAATCAGCTTGAAAATATGCAACCTTGAAGACACAAAACCCCAACTCAGTGGTTCCCAAATGACGTCCACAAAGACATTCTAGGGGTTTGTGAAGCCATGCCTCCTCAGTCAAACTCGACAATAAAAGTTACCTTTTTTTTTTTTTTTTTTTTCAGATTGAGAAGAGACGTTTCAATTTTCGGATGAGTTTTCTCGAGGGTATGTCAATGAGAGAAGTCTACTACACAATAGCCCTTAGTTAGGGTATATACATTTATTAAATCATTATCATAATTAACCTATACCTTTCCCTTCCCCTTACCACGAACAGAGTACTCCATCATCTCTGCCGATCCACAAGGGGTTAGCAAAACATCAATGGTTGAGAACCACTGCCCTAAATAATGCACTTTTCTCACTGTACCCACAAGTCTCACAAAAAAAAAAAAAAAAGTAAACTTAGTGCTTACACTTTGGTATTAAAAATATTCTAAAACACGGTAAAAAGATTGTTTAGCATCCTAGTTTAACCATGGCAAAGGCTCTCAAGGAAACTTAGCTTTACATTTCACTGAGCACCTAAAAATCAGAATTTTGCACCATTATCTCCCTAATCTCATTCTTAACTCCTTTTCTACAGATATGCTTATTCACTCTGCCAGTTTGCACCAGACTTTCAAACTATATACCAAAACCAGGCTTTCTGCAGCAGCCAGCAAAGGCCTGAAGCTACCTGCCAAGGTATTGGCCACACCATTTCCTTGGGAGAGATTGACCAAGAGACCGGCCAAGAGGTTGAAAAGAGAAACTGTGACTCACCCTTAGCCTCCGAACTTGCGTGCCTGTCTTGGACCGATCCAGTCTCGCTACTCGTCTCTTCAGCCGACTCGGCCTCCTGGAACAGAACAATGGATGCCTAAGGCAAGGAATCATGCTGCCTTAGTCACACAATGCTTTTCTCAGCTGTGATTGAGCAAGGCACACTAAATATCTCAGGCTGGCAGTTACACTGAGGTTGCAACAAGATCCCAGATTTTAAGGACAAAACCCATTTTCACAGTAAACACCTTTCCAAGAAACACACGACCCCAGGGACAATAGAAACATTTTTACAGTCCAGTCACAGTGTTTGAGGCTAGTCTCTCACCGGCATCCCTGTTAAAACTAACTTAGTGGACTGTGATTTCGATAGGCACAGCCTGTGTAGGCGCGATTTCAAACACAGCTGGCGGCTCAATTCTCGTCTTTTCCCACTGTTTTTTTGTTTTTTTTTTCATTTCATGGTGTATGTATTTTCCCGAGGGTATTGAGAAAGCATTGTACCATATCTGAAACAAACAAAAACAAAAAGTGTAAACTATTTTGGTTGGGTACGTGCACAACAGAATGAATGCGACTGGAATGTTTGGTTTAATATATGATAAGTTTTGACGGCGCCACTCGCTCAAGCGCATGTCAAACCACAAAGCGATTAAACGGAAGATAGCCAAATGTCATGCCTATTTCACGCACACAAATAACGTGTTTACTGATGGGCAGGACTGGGACGTAAAATTTAGTAAGCGTTAACATTCAAATAATATATTGTACATACCACACGGCGCAGCGTTATCCAGGGAAGATTTATTTGAGAAAGATCTCAAATAACACAGCACTACAGTATCGACAACAGTCACATGTTGAAGATCGGACGGAATCCAAGAGGACTTTGTTTTGGGGCACAATTTGGGGAGAGCTTTCTTTTTTCACACCAAGGCAAAGGAATGGATGCGACTGACCCATTCCCAACCCCAACAACTATTTTTGATGATGACTCAGAAGGACTCTATGCGGATTATCTCTGGGAGGGGGGAGAACAGCTGTCATTGTTTGCAAAATCGCGCTAAGGCCCGTTTGACGTCCTTCCCTTCTTTCGTTTCCCATGAATGTAGAGCAGAAACGCTCGAATGGCAGGCACTTACCAGCCCCGTTTCTCACAGTGGAAGATAACATAAAAAGGGTACGCAGCATGCATACAAAATATTAAGTGGAAACTTTCAAGAGAAGCCAGAAAGCTTTGGATGCAAAACCACAAAACACTGGTGGAAAATCGCGTTGAGCAGTTTTCAACAGTCCAAGAGAGTGGCCGAAAATTCTAGCCGATAGGGGGCATGAGAGTCACACCAGCTGCATCATCACCAGCAACATAGCGGCGGCCTAGGAGCGTTTTTTGGAAAGGTGTATACCCACCACTGGTTTGTGGAATAAGTCTCTCACTGGTATGTTTACCGGGTGTAGGCCTGTTTGTCATGTGAGGATTCATCATGGGCCAATTGGTAACGGAGCAACGGGCCACATAGGATAATTTGTCGTGGGGGAACTCGCCACTCGATGCATTTGGTACAGACACGCTGACTGACGGCCCTTGCCTTCACTTGACACTTAAAAGGGCCCGCATGATTGCTGTCACGTTAAAATTCACATTATTAAACATTGGCACTCATGATTTGCTGTAATGTTAAAATTCACGTTATTAATCTCGGATTTATGAGGTGGCAATTAAAGTCAACGCGTTATAAATACTGATCTGTCAGATTCACTCACTCTAAAGTAAATAGAATTAAGAGTTAAAAAAGTCGTGGTCACACAGAAAAAGAAATGTTTCTTGAGGCAAAATATCAGCACGTTAAAATGCAAAGTTATGTGCTACTGCCCTCCACTAACATAACAGCTGACAATGACCTGAAGGCGCCTATTGCAGTTGGCGAAAATGCTTCGCAGCAAGAATCTGCGGAACATTGTTGTCGGTGACAGAGGCGGCGGCGGCAGCATCTAAAAGCATTGTGCAGAGCTAGGCGGCCCTCCCTCGTAATAAAGAAGCGCAATAGAAAAGTGGTTGTCAATAAAAACATTCAGGAGCATAAAACCGAGATATCGGTGCATACCCGCACTTTCCTTCATCTCAAAATGAGCCAGAAGTGGACTTAACTCGGTTGGGTCTCCGGCATGCATATGCTCACTCGTATAAGATACTATGCGAGCTTTTGCAAGATCAATTGCAATTTTAGTTTTACAGGTCTCCTTTTGCCGGCACACGCATACAACAGTCTTTTGTTAACTTTGATGCGAGCGTAGGAATATATCCTGTAGAGCAGCATAGCATCTGTTCCTCAGTAGTTATTACTACCATTTCGAAATCGAAAGTAAGCTCAAAAGCTAAAATAACCTTTCTTTTATAACCAGGAGACATCCGAAATTCTGACCCCAAAAAGCAACCCTGAAACATACTGGAATCGGCAAATCCGGTGGCCTCGGTAAAACAACAGAGCTACAAACGACAGATCCTTCTGGAAACATACACAAGATGTTGAAATAAAACTTTAGAAACAATGAACGAGCCTCTTTTTGTTTGGGGTTCACTTTCTCAGTATCGCCTGGATCTTTTGTCAAGTTTCTTTATTTCTTCGTTCTTTGGGTAAGCTGTCACAAATAGGGTTGTGTGAATATTCAAATAGTAGTTTCGAATTATATGCTGCTCAATATTCGCTTCGAAATAAACTGCAATATTGATACTTTTCGAAATGTTTATCATGGCGGGTTAGCCCCGTTGAGTGCGCTTCTCACCAAGCACCTGTGAACTGCGAGGAAGCCACCTCCACGGAGCTCGCGGCTCCACAGGTATTGCTTCTCCGCAATGCACAAGTGCTCGGTAAGAAGCGCACTCAACGGGGCTAACCCGCCACAATTATGGAAGAGCAGGGTATTGAACCGAACCCGAACCGTGAACCGAAAACCGGAAAAAACCATTATTTTCTCTCGAACCGGAGTTGAACAAGAACGAAATGATTTTTTTCACTCCGGAGCAGAACCAATGTGTTTTCCATGCGGTTTTCGGTTCATGCACAAAGACAGGTCGCGTCACAAGTGCGTGGCGAAAAACACATGTAACCTAAAATAAAAGAAACCAAAAATGTAAAAAAAAAAAAATATATATGTTTTCGCCCAATCCGGAGAAAGCCGTGTGCTTCTTAAAGGGGCCCTGCAATGGCTTTTTTACTAATTTTTAATTTGCACCGAATCTGAGCGTACTGAACGTAGTAACTAAGTGAAACTTTTCTTTTCTCGAAATTCTATTTAATTTAAAAGTTATAGGCAAATTAAAATTACAAAAACAAGCAAGAAATAACCTCTCTCATGACGTCCTTGGTTGCTTGAGAGTGGCCGTGAATTAGAGGAGAAGTAGTGAGCTCATCGAGCGCTCACGGCTGCCGCACTCCGTGTCGACGGCGCGAGAGGGCGCCATTAAAGCTTGTTCTGGATAGGCTGTATGCAGCGGGCAGCCAGAGCGGCTCTCATTGCATTTGGTGCGTGATTAAATACAAATTCGGCATGACACTTCATTGGCCACAAACGACAGCAAACACGGGGTCAAGATCAGTTCAGAATGGGAGCTACTTTGTGCTGTAATACCGCGAAAGGCCAAACCGCAAGACAAAGCTTCTCGCCGAAGGCCTTCGGAACGCTCGGAGCTGGTCGGATCGTCCTGCCCATACGACCGCAGCGCCACCGCGTACGTCCGGGACCTTTCCGTGCCGGCGCCTGATCCCACTACTCCTTTCTAGTATGCGCCGCCTATTCCACCGCTTGGGGGCGGGTATGTCGACGAGTCATTTCTTGTTCCCGTACTTTATGAACTGCATTCGTTTCTTTTTTATCTAAAATACTAAACAAGAACTACTTTTATAAATAATTGAAACGGTTCGCACCACTTATATTTTGCATTTCGACTAAAAAGAAGCTTTTAGCGGCTCTGACCAGTAGTAAGCCCAGGACCAAAGACGTCACAATTTGCGCGTTTTCGGTACCGCGGGTCGCCCTCGTCGGTGGAGGAGGTTTCTGCGTCGTCCGGTTAAAATATGACGCACTGATATTTAGTTATTCTCTCCGTGCCTGCTGGCTTGCCCGAACCCCAAGAGACGTGGAAACCGCAAAACAGGTAGACGCTTAAATATGATTGCAGGGCCCCTTTAAGAAACTATGTGTCCCATGTGTTATGTGCCTAATTAGGAAGCTAGGATTGAAGAAACCAATGGTTGATTGTCCAAGGCGGTGGATGTCCACGCTGCATATGCTCACCAGGCTACTTGAACTAAGAGGCTTAGCTGGAGGGTTGCTCTCAAAAGAAGAAAGCTCCAGGTCGGCTGAAGACGTATGAGTGGAAGTCGAAATACTCGCAGTATCGCTTCGCCCGGCAGAAGTGGCGACTAAAACATTGCAGAACGAACAGCTCACTGTAGGAGATTTCTACGGAGCATGGCTGAGATATTTCATGGACACTTCCAAGATATCATTGCCGTTAGCAAAGGCCTTTGTCCAGTCGATGAAAAAGAGGGAGCGACAACTTCTTGCCATGAACGTCTTCTGTGCAGCAGTGTACATGAATCCCCGCTACCGCCATGTTTTCACCCCTGAGCAAAAGTACCGGGCCACGTTGCATTTCACAAAGGCTTGGAGGCAGATCGCAGCTCTGCAATGTGAGCAAGATTCTACCTTGTCTTCTGAAACTGCGGCGGCTCCAGAAGATCCGACAGACGCCCTGGAAACGCTCCTCAAGGAAAAAGACGTTGAGGCTGGCGTGCACGTTCGAGGTACCAGTAACCCTCTTTATATAGCATGCCTATTCGAAATGCTAGACAAGGAGCCGCGGCTTTCAAGGGGCGCTAACGTGTAGCAGTTTTGGGAAGAGAGACGGGAGCGCCATCCGAAACTCTGCGCATTGGCGCAATTAGCCCTGGGAGTTCCTGCGACCCAGGTCAGCGTGGAGTGAGCCTTTTCTGCATTGAAGTTCATTTCATCGTCTCAGTGGTGCCGTCTTTCCCCGGATATGCTTGACGACGTCCTGCTTCTTCGGTCAGCTGCCTGACATTGAACTGCACTTTCACCCGCGTCCCGAGGTGCCCCAGCACTACCGTATTTATTCGAATATAGGTCGACCTTTTTTTTTCGGAAATGTTGTCAAAAATTAAGGGTCGACCTATAATCGTGACCAAAAAATTTCGACCTAACTCGCGACCAAAATTTGAAACCCTACAGAGGATATGGAGCTATCAATCACCTAGCCGGCGTGGCGGTAGAGCCGCGCGGCTTCTTGTTTCAAAAAGCTTTTGATGCACAAAAACAACCGAACAGCAGCAGCCGACAGCCCGTGTCCACCGCCGGCTACTGCTCTCGCGCACATTCCCTCGGCGTCGGGTTTCGCCATCATGCCTGTAGCGTTCCCCTCGCTGGGCAAGGGGGAAGGGGAGAGAGAGGAACGCAATGCGCCATGCACTTTGCCCTCCTATGCGCTCCATTCCTCTCCCTCGCAAACGCGCACAAAAAAAAAAAAAAAAAAAAAAAAAAAAACGGAGGTACTTTAGTTTGTTTTTTTTGGCGGGTCGTGTGTTGCTCACGGGGCTCGCAGCGTTGCTCATGTCTTTGTATTTGGTCTTTCGTTGCTCGCCCGTCTCCACCTTCTTTCGTTTCTTCTTGTCATTTTACAACGGTGTCAGTGAGGTATTGTTGCCAATTTGTGAGGATGTCTACCAAGCTTACAAAGCTTCGGACGATGATATGTCCGGAAGTTCTGACAATGAATAAGTTTTTGACGTCGCCCTGTGATTTAGCTGAGAGTGCTGTAAATAAAGGTTTGTTTCTTTTGCCATAACTTTCCCCTGTTCCTTTAAAAAAAAAAGAAAAGAAAGTTCGACCTATATTTGAATTATTTTTTTTTATTCTCGGTGGGCTCAATAAATAGGGGTCGACCTATTTTCGTGGTCGACCTATTTTCGGATAAATACGGTAGTTCGTTCCACATAGTAATGTGAGACTTTGCTTTTTATATGTACCACCTTCATAAAATATGCATAGTTTATCTTTTGCAGTCCTCAATTGATGTTGTAGCATATGAGCACAAACCGGTTCGAACCGGTTTGAACCTTTATTTTTTCACTCCGGAGTTGAACCATTTTCCCTGAACCGGAACGAAAACCGGAACGAAAAACATTTCGGTTCGACACCCTGTGCAAGAGAATTAAAATTAACTGTTGGGCTAGTTGGGTTTTCATTATTCACTCTCGCCTGTCCCATATCTCCTTCCTGTCCTAGTCTTTTGAGCTATAATTATGCATTTACGCAAGAGTATGACCTCCGAGATTCTTGGCGAGAAAAGCTCTCCTCCAGCCATTCCATTCATCAGGAGAGACTGTCAGAGAAAAAAAATGGCTTGCAGCTGTTTCTGCCATGAGGCCGCTAGGTACCAAGCTTGAAATCAACATTATTGGGCTTAAAAATCTGCTCGTTCAAACAATTTACGCTCGTTGCAAATCACCACAACAGACATTACTTTTTTAAGCAAGCAGAAGGTTAAAATCCGAGTGTTATTTTTTATCTTTATGCGCTTAATTTTACCCACTGCTTGTGTTCTGTCGTTTGTGTTCTGTCGAATGCAGTCTCGCCATGACTTAATTTGCCATTGGCTGGGCCTTGACGGCTTCGGCCCTTTCGCTGCAGTGGTATTTTTTGTGACAGTCTCTCCCACTGTATACTGGTAATCAGGGCCGGTTTGCGAGAAGCCGCAACTCGGTAAACGCTGGGTGAAAGAAAGCACTGCCAGAGCCAGTGCAACAGCTGACTAGCACTTGAATCGCGTCTCAACGCACTTGCGCGCCTCGACCTCCGCAGTGTTAACGAAAATACGAGCTTTGTACCGCGTGCACACATTTAACGCTTGAGATGCTAATGCCAGCACTGCTAGGAAAAGGAGCATTTGGAAAGGCCAGAGGAGAGCTTTGCGTGACGAGTATCACGAAGGCCATGCCAAGAGTATATGTCAGGCAATACTGTTTCGCAACCCGTGTTCATCATTCATGCTTGGTTTCTTTTTTTGTCAAATTTGAAGTTGAAGAAAGAAAATTTGCATATAGCAAGCAAGTTTATAAATCCCCTCGATTGATGTAGCTGCAAAAAATCTGTTGTTTATATGCTACAGTTCATAAATAATAGTATTAAAATTGACTTAGCTTAGAAGGGAACAAGTGAAAGGCTGGTAACAACCTTCACGAATTCAGCGAAATATTTGTTTAAGTATGGTGTACGGTAGTAAAAGGCTCGGAAAAACTATTCAATATTAAATTAGAAACAATTCGATCGCAACCAGTATTTGCTTTGAATTCACTCAAACTAAAAATTCCCCATTCGCAAATGACTATGTGACAATAGTGATCACGTTAAACTTCTGGCTGTCGTTCTTGCAGCTGTTGTTAGAAAGTCCTTGCCTGTGATCAACCTCACTGACCTTGTTTTTGTTTACCCAGGCTGATCCCTTTGCAGAACCTCTTAGGAAAACCAAATAGACCAAAACACATAACGAACCTAAGGTTCATGTGTAACGAGTTCTTACAGCGACGAATCTTCCTATGATGAATGTTTCACTATGATGAATGGGCCTATTACCAGCTGGCCTATGACAAATTGGCATGTGAGAAATGGGCCATATCCCATGTGTACCATGTACTGATTTCACCACCTGAACTCTTTCTTGTGTTCACCAACCCTTATTGTGTCAGCAGCAAAAGTGTGGATGGCAGATGCCTGATCAGCTATAACCCGTTGTTGACTGGCCATTGACGACAGTGACAACAGCAATGCCTTCATATGACCAATCACCAGGATTGTGACAATCTGAGCCCTTCCCCAAATGTCCCTGCGAAAAGACAAGTCATTGCCTTGTCCCCGACATTCCAATGCATGGGATGCATAAATCACTGTGCACCAATGAGGGATGCATCCCAGGTACCATAGTAATGACCAATTTGCATCTGCCTCAATAACCCAATCATTGGGAATCAAAGAAAATTCAAAAAGTCATCAACGGAACCTTAAGACAAGCCAGGACGAAATCCACCTCTCCTGTGATCTGTAAACATTTGAAAAATACTGGACCCCAAATGCCGGTTGTGCTAAGCTGAACAATATGACTGATCAGAACAGCACAGCAGTAGTGTTACATTATAAAATCAAGATTCTCAATGTGCTAGAATGAAGTTACAAGTGTCTTGTGAAGTCAGGCAAGTGCCTCACCTTCATGAGGTCTGGTTCGTCGTAAGAGACATCCAAGGAAGCATCCCTCTTCAGTGATGAAGTTTTGGGAGCCCCCAGTTCCTCTCGGAAAGTGTCGAACCCTGCACAAAAAGTGTATTGATGGTGGCAGCACATAAACCTGAAACAACTGCCTGCAATAAAACCAAGCAGCCCTCGCATAACGTATGTTGCTCAAAAGAACCTTAGAGTGCACAGCACCAACAAAAAAAGCGGATGCCTGGTTCCAGAGGCTGCCCCGACTCACCGGACTGGTCGAGGTGAACTTTGGCAACGGCCTTTTCTACGTCGTCAGTGACAAGTTCCACGTTGAACATGCACTTGTTGACAATGTCCTCGCGATTGATCCTTCGCAAGCCTTTCTCCAGGTTGTTGCCTGTTGAGGAAGGGGCCGATTTAGTGATGTTAGAATAGTCAACCATTGAAATACTTTTACTATTAAGAAAGAAAACACCGCACAACTGAATAGGTGGCACACCGTACTCGTTCAACAGAGCTTTTACGAGTATTATGGACCAAGCCACAGAGAGTTGTTACTCGGAATTTCTCCCCCTTCCCTCTGTTTGGAGTGTCGTGCACGGGCTGCCCAAAAAGCTCAGCCTCTCCAAAAAGTCTTTCTTGTCAATTGTGAAGTAGTTCATATGTTGAAGTTTGCACCAGGGGTTCTTTCCTTCTCCCCACAAGAGGTGCACAAAGAGAGAGAGAAAGGAGGCAATGCAGTTCTCCGCAGGCAGAACTTGAAAAGGTAGGGCAGGGGTTCTCAAATGCCAAGGACCCCTCTCGGTCTTGAAATTGATGCGAGAAAGCTGTGCAGAAGTCTACAGAGCTTGTAAACAGCAATGCACAAGCGAGAGGGCGTTTGGCTCATAGTTAGGCATCGAAGGATGACTCAAAGTCAAGTCTGCTAGAATAGTGTTTAAAAGGCACCGTAATCATTAAAAAAAAAAAGAGATTTTAAGAACATTTCTTTTATATCTTTAAGTCACACACAAACACATTTTCTAATTACTACACTCAGAAAGTGCACATCTGTGTGGTTACATTGATTCAAAGTTTCATACTTGGGATGTTTACAAGCACGTTCTGGAAAACCTTACCTGCTTTCTCAAAATTAATTTTTTGCCACAATGCACAGTTTTTTGCACACGGTTTCTTTGGAACTAGAACTTGGGTCCGAATTCCTTTTATACACCCCCACGTGGCCCTGACGTCAATACTCTGCGGTAGTGCTGTTGTCGGCACGGCACCATGTGAAGACGCTTCAGTTCGCGTATGCGCAATGTCCTCACTTAATGTGGGGGGACGCTGACTTGTTTGTCGATGGCGCGTCCGTAAATAGGGCTCGATATGTCATAAACAGGATGTTTTGTTTTTAAATCAAACCCGCTATTCCCCAATATTACCACCTCGAAAATATTTCTTGAAAGTCGAGTAAAAGCCGATTTTTGCACCTAATTCAGACATTGAATTTCACCATTTTCCAGATTACCGTAATATCCCGAGTCATCGCCCACCCCCTTACCGCCTGAAATTCATTAAAAAAGTGGGGTGGGCCATGTCTCGGTGGGTGAGCACAAACACTTGAAAAAAAGCGGACAACACCGCCTATTTTTCTCTGCGTATCTAGCGCTGGTGCACAAGAGATACATCAAACTCAAAACTCGATTTAGTTTCATTGTTTTATAGAAAAAAAATGCTCACGAAAGAATATTTTACTATAGCGAAGTCCGTTGCTTGCATACGCGCTAGAAACACCGCCGATCTGCATATAGCGCGAACGTTTGTTCCGTGAAAGAATGTCACCACTATGTTCTCCTAGTGAGTAAAAAAAAGAAGTCTACAAGAAAATAGAAAAACCGACCAGGCGCAACGAGCGAGCGAGCGAGCGGACCGAAGAAGCGACCAAGAGCATTGCTGGGAAAGCGGGAAAGCCCGGGGTCGCGTTGGCAAGTACTTTGGCGTCGGGCCAAGTCGGGCGCCTTGTCAATTGCAAGCTCTTGCGCAACTTTCTTGTTTGGTGCGTACATAACGTGCGTCCGTACACGGCGGGCTATCAATGTACGGTTGGGACGCTCTGCAAACGTCTGTGTGGGGCGTTCCAGAAAAGCTTTATTTACGCGTTGGCTTTGCCTAAAATGTTGCACAACCGCGGTCGCGACGGGCGGGAAGAAGGAGCGGGTTCGCGGTGACCTTACTTTGGCGGAGACAGACTTTGACCTAACACTCCGCGGTTACATTAACAAACTCTTATTTTGTTATCTCCATCGGTTTCTTTTCGCACGGATACAGGACCACTTTGGGGTCGCTCACGGAGGAAATTCGTAAACAAAAAGAAGTGTCTTTCCCTCCTTCGTTTTACTTTGTCGCGAACGTCCTCCAACTATAAGGTTCGCGGCCGCGTCATTCGGGTAGGATGAGTGTTCGCGGATCGCTGAGTCCGCGCTGGGGTATTTGAAGGGGTGGGCGATGACTCGGTGTTTTTTTCGGAAATCGATATTGGCCCAAAAAATGGGGTGGGCGATGGCTCGGGGATGGGCGATGACTCGGGATATTACGGTACTCTGCTCCAAAGATATTCTTTTTTTAGAAACAAACGGTTGGTAGGAACACGTGCACTAGCTCCAGACCTCTGGAACAAACTTAGGTTCTATTGTCTTCAGTGAACTGCAGCGACAAAAATCGAGCCCTGAAATGTTGATTTTACATCTATATTTTGAAGTATACTTTGCCCTCTCTTTGTTTCAACTAGCACAAAAAAAGAAGAAAAAGAAGGAACAGCAGATATTTTGTTCCAGTCACTGAAATGATATTGTTATGCATTGCAAATGTAAGCGTAAGCTGAGATGTTGAGAGAATGTTCTATCAAATCAGACATCTCCAAAAACCCGACAAGACTACGATGAAGACAGATATGCTGCTGCTGCGCATTTAGAAGATTAGATAGGCATAAATGTGCAGGAAAAATCGAAAATCCCAAGTGAACTCTTATACCATGTTCCAATGCTATCTTGAGTACTTAACTAACTTGTCTGGGAAAAAGAAAAATAATGCTCTATATCATTAATTAATAATTATACTGATGTTTTTAAGAATAACCTAAAAGCCCGAATTTGAGAATACTTTCTTGAAAATTGATTTCTCTACTCATGAATCAGAGATTGCAACAAACTAGTCCTATTTTAAAAAAATGTAAACTACAAAATTTTTTAATTGGCAAAGACCTTAATAATGCCCCTCTAATCAGCAAAATAATTTCAACTTGCGATAACCTTTTCCAGAATGAAGCTGACATATAAGAATGGTTTTGTTGCATCTTCTACTGTTTGTAGGATATGAAGACATATAAGACTACTTTGTGCCATACTTTTCAGTGGGGGCATTGTAGAAAAATTGAACAGAAACATAAGTGATAAAGTCAAGATTTTCTCGAAAACTATAATAGATGGGAAGACAATGAGCTTATCGTATTTACTTGTATAACCCACGCTATTTATGAAGAAAACCTGAGGGTTTGCTTTTCTGCGGAGCACGCGGATTGCCAATCACCGCGATCGACAGAATGATACCACCTGTTTACAGGATAGAGATGGTATCTTCGTGCAAAGATACCATCTGTGAAGGTTGCATTTGTGTAAGGAGTCATGTTCTTGATCTAGTTATTCGCTATGTTATTTATGCACAATGCAATGATTGGCTGTATAAGTGCTCTGCGGGAAAGTAGACACAAGGGCCTTGCTCATAAATAGTGCGGGTTATACTCGAGTAAATATGGTATGTTCGTGCTTAGCATTAAAAGTCATAGTGGAAGTGAGAATCTAAATTGGAAGAGAAAGGAGAAAAAAATGACTAAGACCAGAGTCGCCCCTTCAACTGCAAAAACACTCCACTAAGAACAGTCGAGGAAGTTGGGAAGTTTAGGGGACCCATGAGTGTACTCTGGGCAACCCCCGGCTTCCTAGGAGCCCAGTTTAAGAGCCTACGAGATAGGGAAATGTTGCCCTACCAGTGGCCTTGGTGTTGGCACGCTTCATCCAGAGGCGGAGCATAAGTAGGGCCTGTTGTCCCAGGTCGCTGGGGCACTCGCTCCGGATGGAACTGACGTCCTGGTCCGGGACGTCGAGCTGCGCCGCCAGGGGCACCCAGTCTGCGCCGAGCTCTCGCGCTATGTCGGACAGTCGCAGGTCCGCCCGATGGATCAGTTCTGGTTTGGCTGCACGAGACGTCCTTGTCAGACGCTCCCTGCTCAGGAACGAGCTTAAAACACATTTTCTAGCCTGGCATCAAGCATCGTCTGCCACTTGATGCAACCAACCCAAGTTCTCCCGAACTGCTCGAGGAAAAATGCGTAACAGTTGTTTAGTTTGTTCCCCTTCGTGTTCCCACCCTAATGCTTATCTTTGCCTTCAAGATGAAAATCCACCTGATCACTGGCTTCTTACACACTCGTTAAATATCTCCACGTGGTGAGTGATGTTGATTGGGGCGAAGCTCTGGTAGTGCTGATGATACTGATTTTGTTCATAGGTAGTGCTGATGGTGCAGATTTATTTTTATTGCTCATAGGTAGTGCTGAGTTCCGGGTTGCGTTTGGACTTTATATACGCATTTGAGCATTTGACCACAGCACCCTCTCGTCTATAAAGGTTGAGCCAATGCATGGAAAGTTTAACGCGATTATATACGCATTTGACCGCAGCGCCCTCTCCTGTATAGACGTTCAGCGGCTACATGCAACGTTTCATCCATGACATCCCCAGCTCTTGAGTTACTACCACATCTCAGAGCCCCCTACTCGTCCCGCAGTCATGGCCGAGTGGTTAAGGCAATGGACTAGAAATCCATTGGGGTCTCCCCGCACAGATTCGAATCCTGTCAACTGCGCAAACATTTTTTTTTTTAAGAAGACAGATGGGATGGCAATCGATGTGAGCACGGACGCCGGACAAGGCTAGAACTATGGAGCTTCGCCCCTAAAAAGACACCATAATATCCCAGGATATAGCCCACCTAAAATCGAAGACAAATTGTGTGAAAATAAGGAGTGAGCTAACTTGCGGTGAGTGATCGGTTGAAAAGATGCTAGTTTTAAATTCTTTGACCTACGAAACTTGTAATTGCAGGGAGGCTTGATGAACCAGACGACTGTGCTTCCCAGTCATCAATGTGCGCTTATCTCCCGCCGTGGTTAAATAACACCGTTTTTGCCGAGGTCACTGTTGGCCAGGGCCCTGCAATTGCTAGAAGTAAACTATATGTCTGTGTTTTTGAAAGAAAAGTAGCAAATCTTGCCAAAAATAGGGGTGGGTTATTTTTGGGGGTGGGGCATTTCTAGAAATATTACAGTAACCAAATTAATAAAGCCCCTTCAAAAAAAAAATAAAAAAAACAAAATCAGCCTGCTGCATGTGCTTGAGTTTAGAAGTGTTCAGGCATTGTTATTAACACTTTTGTGGAAGGAAAACAAGTAATTTTGATTGAAGTTCGACTACCACTTTTCAAAGAAGAAAAAGAGATTGTACGATCTAAAGCAAAAGCACTACTAGCTATAAAAGAGATCCCATCCTCCCTCCCAAATAATTGCCAGTATGGTCACCTACCGATTCTTCGGATACCCAGACCAACTCAACTATTCGGATATCTTCACAAAACCCTCACTCAGCCCATGAAGTTATAGTGAATAAAAATTTTGAAAGCCATACAATTTGTTGCTCAATTTTTCGGACTTGGTTTGTACGGTTCGCAGCTTTGCGCTCGCCAAACTGCCGTAAGTGCCGCTTCAAACCGAGTCGCTGCCATCTTGGTTTTGACTTGTAAACACCTACACCACGTCCTACGCAACAGAGAATTAAGGTTATAGTCGGGTACTAGTTCCAAATTAGTTTTTTCAACTGCCAGGTTATTTGGATTTTTGTGCATTCCCAGTCGAGTTAAAAAAAAAAAAACAGGTTAGAGTTGGCAGTTCCCTAAGGATACGAAAAGGAAGAATGACAATGGCCGAACCTTTGCCATTTGAAGCAAACGTTTTAAGTTCAACAGCACTCTGTAGTATCTAACCCAAAAATTAATTTACAAACAAAATCAATATTCCTGAAAGCATCAACACAAAAAGACAGCCAAACACGCCTTCAAAATAGACCTCTCGCAAAATCAAAGCCATCCTAGTGGCGTAGCCCAACGCAAAGCACCTTGGGATCCCATTGGAAACAATTTCGGCTTTCGATCTGCCAACCTCACTTCACGACATCCTGTCACGACCAAGTACAGTCCTTGCATTTGTAAATGTGCAACTTTCCTTAAATTTATAATGCTGTTTGTGTCCCCTACCAGTACGGATAAAATGCTGGTGCACTTTCTTTTGGGCTCCCGAGATGCCACAGTTTGTGCGCAGGTAAGAACGGAACTACGACAGAAAATAGAAGAAAAAGAAGCACTATATTAGACCAACAACAACAATCCTGTTAAACAGTTTCTCCACAAAGTACAAGGCTCGTTAAATGATCCGTTAGCCTGGAGGGTCATGCTGCACCCTAGAGTAGTAGCCGGCCGCCAGAGATTTATGGTATGTGGCCGGCCGTACCCCTACCTACTCCTCGCTAAGTCTAAGCAGCTCCTTACATTAAAATACAGGCTAGAGGGCCGTATTTCAATGGCGACTCGACTTTATTTTCATGCAGTGGCGATGCTCGCTACTTTGTCAAAGGGGCAATTAAAACTAAGACCACGCCACTCCTCCCCGTGGCCAAAAAGCTCCCACAACGCAACGGGTGCAGTGTTGCATGCAATGATTTTCGGAAGTAGTTGTCTATTCAGTCAAATGCCACAACGAACAGCTGCCGACCCGCAACCAGGATGACCACAAGAGCGAGACTCACCTAGCCCGGTCTCTTCGACAAAGCCATACTTCTTCTCCAAGGTGACGAGTTCAGACACAGCTCGGGACGCCTCGAACTGCAAGCGCGAAAACGTCGGTGCAAGAATTTAGAGCCGACCTTCCGAGCAATGGTTCCCGCATAACGAGGCCGTAGAGAGCTGGACTTTTTATGTCGCCTAGGGACTAGCACATTTACCGATCGATTGCGAGTTCGAGTAAAATGCTGAAACGGTGCTCATGTCCCGTCTCTGCCCCGCACGGGTCTCCGACGGGCGACACAGAAAGTCCGGCGCCACGGCCTTGTTGTCCAAGGGCGCTTGCTCAGAGGGGAGGGGGTACTCACCTCAGGGAGGGCAATGTTGAGGTTGCACAGGGGCACTTGAGGCGGCTCGGTGCGCGCAGCCCGAGGCTCTCGCATGAAGGCCACCCGTCCCAGGGGCTCCTGGTGGATGTCCTTGACGCGTACCACAAAGGGTACCCGGTTCTCCCGGAATGCCTGGAAGTGCAGCTTCAGCTGCTCTCCGGACTTGGTCACGGGGACCAGGTTGCCCGCAAACTCCAAGTACTGGGACTTGTTCTCCAACACCTGCGGCGGCCAGAGGGGCGCTCGTGACGAGAGTGCATCTTTTGCTCCCGGCGAGGCGATGCTCTGTTTTACGGCCCTGACGAGTTCTTCCGCTTATTTTGCTTTGACTTATTTGCAATTCGGGCTATACTATACATCATTGGGGATGTCACCTCTCTGGTGAAAGGAAATTTCCAATTATGTTTTTGCCACTAAACATTTGAACTTTAGAGAAGAAATTGTACCGACGGCATGTAGGATTTGTGCCGTCACCTTACTTTCACTGTTCTGCATGAAAACGTAAAACTAAAAATGTTGTTTTTTGTAATTTTCACATCTTACACTAAAGCCCATGGCTTTAATAGGAGGGCTTCAGAAATGCAAAAAGTTGGCAATTGAAAAACCTTTTAAGTAACAGTAAAATTCCAGGGTCTCCCAAGCATTTTCGAGTGATTTTGATCAGTTACGGATGTCCAAGGTAGAATTAGTCAGAAATGAAGGCATATGCGTTGCAAACAAATCAACATTCATCAGCTGATTACAGCTATCATTTAGCACACAGTATACTTTATAGCTACAATGAGGCTACGGCTGTTCTGCTGAGAACCAACTCACGGTAGGAGAGGCTGCGTCAAAGCAGGACTGACCTCAACGTCCCTGCTCTTGGCCACTTCGCTGAAGTGCTCCTGCGTCTCAAGGGTCTTGTCCTCCTTGTCGTCCGTCATGCAAAACACCCGTAGCTGCGCCTCCATGGGGTCCTGCCTCTTGGCAAACACCACGAACTTGGCCATGAATGGCACGTGAATCGCCTCTGCGTACAGCTCCGTCGCAAACTTGGTCGCCTCGCTCACTTGCCGGCAGTCCATCAGCCAGAACCTGGAAGCGCAAGAAGTTCATGCCGAGGCGCGGGTTTCCGACTGCCTAAGGTCGCCACCATTACATAAAGTGTCTGGGGGAGGAGAGAGTGATCACCCCCTCCCCCTCTGTGTTCATATGCCACTGGGTAGTATATACCATTGAACGCATAAAAATCTAAAAAAAATTAAGAACTTTGATTTGGGCAATTTTTCATTACTTCATATACGCATGTAGCAGAGAAAGTTATAAGCACTCTGCATGGTACTATGTAGTATTTACACCGATTGTAAGTCAACCCCCCCCCCCCCCACATCGCACACCAGCAAAAAAAATAAAAAACTTAAGGTGCGCATTTTATTGCGAACGTACGGCAAAGTATCTGTTTCGAAAGCCGAGCCTCCAACTCGCGATCTATGCCTTCTGGGTGCTTTGGCTGCGCATGAATGCGCGAGGTGCACGAGATGACCAGGCGTTATCGAAACTAGGAAGTTCACGCTGGAGGCGGGACAACTGAAGCTGCTCACTGTAGTTCTCACTCCGTCCGCAACTAGACTACGGACTTATCTGCACTGTTGATGTCAGTCCCGTCGTCATCACTGCTACGTTCTCTATGCACGTCGTCGGCGTCGTCCAACAAAATCTCACACTTCGCAAATGACAGCATCAACCGCCTCTTTCACACCTGCTCGGCGATTGCGTTGGACGTCACGGGTAGGGACTGATTGCAAACCTGACCTCCAACTCCAAAAGGCATCCCCACCTACTCAGACTTTGGCCCACGGAAGCCTCTTCGTTTGCCGCCATAGACACAGTTTAAGATCCCGCGCCACTGCAAACTCCACTAAAGCATCACCCTCTCCGATGGGTGGAACTTGCATCCAACAGCGCAGTTGTTAGTTGCTTCTGAGTGAAGAATGGCCCTACACAAGCACTGAAAACCTAAACTGCCAGGATCATGCATGTCAATACAAAAAAAACATAGAACACCAGCATGATCTCGTCACTCGATCAAACGATGTGCGACCGTGAATCGTGGGAAAAACTGTGAAGAGAAGCCGCGGGGTGAGTGAGCCGTCAGGCTATTCCAGCGGCCTCCGAAGTGGCTCTTACAGGAAGTACCGCCACCCCCCGGGAGTCGGGCATGCCGTGCGCTGATCACCACCGTACATTCGGGTTAATTTGCGAATGGCTATAAATAATACTCGTTCGCACAAATAAAAAAATAATTAATTTGGAAAATGAGCGCACAGAATAGTGCAATGCTAGAGGTACAGCCGCCTGAAGTCATAACAAGCCGAGGTGTTCATGACATCGCGGTGGTTTTGTTTTTGCCGGTGGTGGAATGCTTTGGTTCGATTATCAGTCGAACCCCCCCCCCCCCCCTTTCAGATTTTTAAAAATTGGAAAAGGGTCGACCTACATTTGTGTAGATACGGTACTCATTTCGTTTTCCTGTGTAATGATGTTTCAATGTGGCTTTCTGGCTTTAATGCATGCATCAAGCTCACTGAGGTCTGGAGTCGGGTTCTAAAGTAGCACTGCCTTTATGCCTTCTTCGTAAGGTTCATACAGCTGTTGCGTACCTTATAACTATGTTCATCTTTGGCTTAGTTGCTTGCTGCAGCCAGAAAATTAGCTATGAAATGTACAAACGAAAAAAGATGTACCGACCTTGCAGATACCGTTGTTGTGAAGGAGACGCAGTCATTGACGAAGGTGAGAGGCGTAGATCCTGTGACATCTTCCCATTGTGCCTTATTGGCACCACCTGCAAAGACAATGATCCTTAAGAACTAGGGGTCAACCCCTCTAAAAAGCTTTATCTAGCCCAACGAGTAGGCCGACAACCTTTAATATGAATATTGGACTTAAAACTGGAGATGAAAAGAGTTTCCTCTTTTTATATTGTTTATAAATATATTCCACACTTAAGCATAATCGCTAATGCATACTACAAAAGAAACATTTTGTTTTCCTCAAGGAACAGGTCTACTACAGGCGGTAGTATACAACCGTGCAGTGATTACATTACATGCTAAATTCTGGTTGCTAAATGACAAATTTTTGTGTCCCAATGCACTGTACTTGCAGATCAAATACTCACTGAAAGGCAATAGGCATCCCATTGTGGCCTTGCATTATCCATGACACAAAACTACACAAAATTCTGCTTTGCAAGGTTGTGCTGTGGTATGCTTCCTTTTGAAAATTTGCATTTGAATATTCACCCTAAGAAAAGCACACCAAATAGGATTGTATTCTAGGAGTTCTGACCAACTTTAAATAAATATCATGCACACAAATATACAAAAAAACAACCGAAGGCTGCTGTTGGGTCTCACAAAAAAGCCTAGAGGCTCATTCGCACAGTTGCATTTGACTGCAATAGGACTGCTTGCGTCGTGTTGCTATGGCAACCCTTACGACGAGCCAACTGGGAGGTGCTGTGCTGCACGACGCAATGCAGTTGACACAACTGTGTTAACAAGCCTTAACTTTTAGCCACAGATGAACGTTTGAGGCTGAAAACATCACTGCCATCATACAATAAAAACTTCTGAATAATTGATGGTATGACAGTACAAACACTGTAAAAGTTTGTCAAATTCAAAATAATAATAATATCAATGAGAGGGGACAGTGATAACAGGCAGATAGAAAATAAACATTTATAAAAAGCCACCAAGCAAGCAAAACACAAAAAGAAAAATATACAAAGTGCAGGTGAAAAATGCAGCTGTTTATGGCTTACTTATAATACGTGGGGTGGTCAATAAGTTCTGCATCCTAGGTTGTAACTTTTTTATTCAGCAATGAAATTGAAAGATATTAAATTCAAATGAAAGTTTTGGAATCTCCTCTTTCCCAGGGGCCGCGATGCACTTTTGCTGCCTGTACACTACTCTCCGCATGCCGCCATAGATGATTGAGGGCAGCTGTTGACAATGCATTGGTAACCTCGTCGTCGAACGCAAACCGTGTACCCTTCAGATATTCCTTTATGTTGAAAAACAGCCGCAACTCTGTCGGCAGAATGTCCGACCTGTAAGGTGAATGAGGTAAATCATCTTGGAACTGTTGCTCCTCCAGCACGGCATTGGTGTTGTCAACAGCCACCCTCAATCATCTACGATGGTATGCGGAGAGTAGTGCAAGGAGGTTCCGAAACCTTCATTTGAATTAACATCTTTTAATTCCATCGCTGAATAAAATAAAATAAAGAAGTTAGTCTAAGGGGCAAAACTTATTGATCACCCTCGTACTACCTCATCGTGTTCAGCCTAAGGCCATTTAACCTCTAGGCAATGAAGGGTGCAACATTTTCAGGCTCATTCAAGATAATATTCGAGATCTACAGTAGCGAGAAAACTCCTTTTCATTTCGGAGAATGCCAAAAGTGCACTGGCACAAGCTTATATCACTAAAATCCCACTCAAGAAAAAAAAACCTAACCACGAAACTTGCGTGCTGCATACCTTGGAGGCAGTCTAGTCTGTGAACTAATCCAGCTGCCAAAAAAAGGTGTGTTGAACTTACAACTCATAAGACAGAGGGGCAACAAAAAGCCCTCAGTTCACGATGCAGGTGGAAACATCCCCATTTCCTTTGAAGGAGGAAAACTCAGAAAAACTGAAAGGGGAGCTCGACGTAGATCAAGGCCAAATGTGAAATCAAAGAACACCAAGGAAAGCCCAGGCAACTGGGAAACAGCTCCCCTGCTCGGACGACAGCGGTGCGGGGAAGGCCGGAACGCCAGAGAAAAAGAAGGAAGAAAAGAGCCAAAAATGCAGAGACCTGCTTCGAGCCTGTACTCTCCCGACAACTGGCCATGCCTTCGACTGGCTGCTCGAGGGCAGACACGGCAGCAGGGAAAGAGAAGAATGCCTTCAGAACAGGTGTGTCCCAGAGAGGCAGCAGCAGTAAAAGCACACATACACACACACAAAAACGTCACAGCAAAAAGCCCCAGGGAAGGAGACAAAGAGGCTGCATGGCTTGGCAACCAGCCCACCGTACAACATTCGCTTTGCCTTTTAGTTTTTTAACAGCCTATTGCTCTTTGTGCCAGATACATTGTACAGCTTATTGAATTAGTGTGGGCAACGAGTTGGTAGTATTAATAACAGATTGCACGAACGCATCGCGCATTCTGGTTTTTACGGTTAGTTGCAACTAAGGTAATCAGAAACATTAAGCAGGAGCTACATTAGGTTAGGCTAACATCAACTTTTTAATAACAGCACCTAAGAAAGTCAGGCGTTGTTTCAATTAATAATCTTGTTCAGGTTGGCATAAATGGCAGTATGCTCACTTAAAGCATTTAAATGGTGCATTTAACAAGCTCAGGCAGGCAGCTTTAGTATATCTTAAGGCGCGTTCACACCGGCAAGTTGAAGCTGCAGCGCGACAACGCTTGTCGCGAGTTGCGAAAGCGACAGGTTTGGAGCAGTCGTTTCCAAACTGAATTTTGCGACTTGTCACTAAGTCGTCCGGTGGCAGGACCAATTAGCACCGCTTTGGAGGTGACGAGAGTGTGCCTCGCGTTTGTTTACACCCAGCACGCCAAACTTCTGTGGGAGAAACGAAATTAAAAGCTTTCTACATTTACTAAAAAAAAATTTTGAACTTCACTTATGTTGTTATGGCGAAATTAGATGGCAAAAAAAACATCAACTTGCAAGACTAGGAAAAATGATAAGGTTTCCCGAAAAGCCCATTCAACGCTTCGGTTTGCAGTAGTGGCCATGGAAACAGAACCACGGAGGTCTCTGCGGCGGCTCTGGTCAGCGCTATTAAAGAATACCTGTCGCTTTATAAACGCAGCACCACGATTTGAACGAGCGCCCGAAAAAAGAACTTTGCCTGGCAGCAAATCCGTGCCACTTCTGGACAGGTTTGCACTGCGACGCGGTAGTTTGAGCGAGTGCACGCCAATGTAGCAATTGTGCTTCTCCGCATGGTACCGAAAGACCCAGGTACACACAGTCTTTCATATTGCAATGACAACGCATATGTAGCTGTGAGACAACGAAAATGAAAAGGCAGCGAAACGCGAACGCGAGCTGTGGCGGTGCGCACTGAATCGAAAGCAGCTCCCGCAAGCTTTCGAGAAGCGAGTCGCCGATCGCCTGCAGTGTGAACATCAATGGTTGCTTGCCACATGTCACTAGTCGCTCTCGCGACTGTCGCTGGTTGCCAGTGTGAATGCGCCTTTACGAGGCAGGAGCATTTGAAGCAATGATAATTAATTTGTGTATATGCCAAAGCTTGATAGTGAAACAGAACAAACAGCCCCATAGTGTCAATATATATTTGCATAAAAAGCTTTTTTACTAAAAAAAAATTTTGAACTTCACTTACGTCGTTATGGCAAAATTAGATGGCAAAAAAACATCAACTTGCAAGATTAGAAAAAATGATAAGGTTTCCCGAAAAGCCACAAAACTACTAATAACTCCTAATCATGTCAGTTGTCCCAGTGGACATCATAATACACAGAAATAATGACAAATAAATAAAGTGTAGTCCCCAGAAATGAAATACAGCTCAAATCTATCCAAGGCCCCACAAAGCTTCAAGTGGAATTCTGTCATAAATTTGACTCATGAAATCACAGCATTGATTGAAAACTGGAGGAGAATGATTAGGCTTTTTAGCACATCCATAAATCTTTGGTTGCTACGACCAGCATACTTTCAGTGTGCGTGGTGCAGATTTGCAGCCAATTCAGTGCTAGTGCCATGTGCTTTGGCAGCAGAACATAAAAGAGAGCAGCAGTGAACAAGCAGGCACGCGCTGACATGCAGAGAAATCTAACGAAGACACGCCATGTGGCCCAAAAAGACATTGAGAGGCTAAGGTACATGGCACTCAGTACCATTCCTTAAAGGATAAAAAACAGGAATTTAGGTGAAGCATAGTATATACTACCTATATCGAAAGCCTGAGACTTAATCTTGCTTTCAATTGGAGAAGTCATAATACTTATCGAAGTAAAGGAAAGGCAAAGGTACTGTTAAAGCTCTAGAAAATTATTATTTACAATTAGAACTTCTTTGCATTTGCTTTAAGCATCTAAATACCTAGCTATTGGAATATACCTAACTTTGATGCTAAAAACAAATAATCGTATTTTTTGTTTGTTTATAATTTAAGTGGCACACACTGCAACTACTTCAGCTACTATTCAATTCAAGACAATTTGACCAAAATCACTGCCTGCCTCAAATTCCACTTCAACATAAAATATACTTCTTCAATACTTCATGAAGTACTGAAATATAATGCTGTGTTATTTCTTTGAGTGTATGTATTTTTATAGTGTGTCGTTTTTTGTGCGCAGTGAAGTGTTAGCATAATAAAATATACTATTTGTAGATGCCTTCCGAATATGCGGCGCAATGATTAAACTGACGGACCTCGAGTCTTCGAGACCTAACACCTTACCCCAAAGAGAATTTCTGGGAATGCCCAGACCAACTTGACCCTACCCACTGATTCCAATTTAATACCAGACATTCCTGCCGGGAGTTCTTAGCCCTCAAAGCTTGTAGAGAGGAGAGATCTCGGCACGGGTTCAGTCCCCAGTGCCAGTGCGGCCAGCGCATCGGCAAGAACCGCCCACCTGTGATGCTGCAGAGGAGGCGGAGTGTGGGAGCATCCCCGGCATACTGGTTGATCATGCCCTTGGTGGCAGCCTGCGGCACTGGGATGGTCAGGGTGATGGGTTTGTGGAACTTGCGCCTCCGGGGCTCCACCGTGACTATGGGGCTCACGGCCACGCGGTGACCCAGCAGCTTGGTCACCAACTCGGGCTGGATGGGCTGAGCCTGCAGGAAGGGACCAACCCAGCCCTCACTGCCTGCCCCCTTTTCCTCTCTGCTGCTTGCTCGAACGACCTCGGCCCAGTGAGTTGCTGGGGTTGTTGGAGCATGTTTAAATACAAAACAAAATAGCACTAAAGAGACAAGGACCAGAGTAGACAGGACAGGCGCTAAACGTAGAACGCTGAAAAGGACCCACTGTAGAAGAAATGTGAGAATTTACCCGTCCTACTCTGTCCTTCTCCTCTCTTTTGTGCAATATTATTTTTTACCTAAACCCGGACCACAAAACCCAGTCAATACAGATGTCAGCACCACACTGAAAGATGTGCACATAGTGCGAGCCTTCTACAACACTGTTGTCGTTCCCCTCCCTAGAGTGTGACTTCCTCACAGATGAGATTGGTGAGTAAACAAGGTGAAACCTCGGGTGCAAGGCTAGCAGGGCAAGGATAGGCAGTTTGTGATTTTAGTGTGTATTCCCGTGCGCCCCACCTTTCAGTTCTCCCAACTGAAGTCTGGTTTCGACAGCTGCGTTGGTTGCAATCGGGGCGGCCGAAACGTGGGCAACGACAGTCACCAAGACAAGTGTTTGTCTTACACAATGTGACAAGCGATGCAATAGGTGGCTTCGTAATGCAATTGTAAGTCGTGGTCATTTCAGCGCCCCTATCGTTGCTGTCGTTTTGGCTGCTGTGGACGAAGCCAGCAGAAATGTCCGAATCGGCTTCAACTTTAAAGTTGCTTCCATTGTGCAATATGCAAGAGCATGAAAAGCAAATTATGTGGTTTTACTAGGTATGTGACAAAAAGTAACAACTGCTGTAATCATTTTATTGATAACTACTTATAAGCGGTAGTGATTACAAAACCCTGGTCCTCCTCTAAAAGACAAATGGCCTAAACTAGAAATAAAAATCTCAATTAGTACCTCTTATATTGGCCGAGAGTTGCCTTAGATATCCATTATTCCACATCCAACAAGGTTAAATAATCATGTTATGTCAGCTCAAGTAAATATAAGGGATGCATAATGTTACATGACTGCAAGGAGTTTCTGTTGCATCGTTTTATTGTCAGGAAATATCAGTCCTATTTCAACTATACCACAAATTTGGGTCTGTACACTCATGGAAGTGACAAGCTATATATTTTATTTTCTCAATACACTAGTGAAAAATGCCTTTCAGCTGCTTTAAGCTCCCATCTCATGGCATATTTTTTAGGGATGGGCGAATATTCGGTTAATACGAATAGCCAATCGAATTCTGTTCTATTCGGTATTCGCTTCGAATCGAATTTAAGTATTCGACAAAATCGAATTATTCGACAATATCGAATTATTCGACAATATCGAATTATTCGACAATATAGAATTATTCGACCTTTCGAAATACAGTCAAACCCGACTATATCGAACCCGTTTACATCGAATTATTCCTTATATCGAACAATTGTTGTGCACAGTAATGTTACAGTGATAATATATAGCAAAAACTATGGTTGCATCGAACAAAAATAGCAGCCGCTACCGATATATCGAACTGCCAAGAGCGCCGTTTTGCTCTGCAAGCTGGCTTTCCCCCAACGCGCAGCCGCATTGGGGGAAAGCCAGCTTGCAAAGCACGCTAACTTTTTTTTTTTTTTTTTTTTTCTTCGGGCGGCCGCGTCGACTGTTTAGAAAAAAATAAAATATATCTTTTGCGGAGAGACGGTGCTCCGTGCTCCGTCCGCAAAAGAGAATATTATTTTTTCTTCCAAATTGACGCGGCCGCCCAGAGAGAGAGAAAAAAAAGCCAGCTTGCTTTGCTAGTTGGCTTCCCCCAACGCACAACCTGTTTTAGGGGAAAGCCAACTTACAGAGCAAAACGGCGCTCTGCAGGAGGTGCTCCCGTTGGACGTGCTCCGTGCTCTCGGCATATTTCGGCGCTAATGCGCGAATATAGAAGGCAGCGGCCCAAGAATTTTGGAGTCCGTCGATAGCGTAGAAAAATATCGTTATCGCGGATGCAATGAAGAAAAAGCAGCAGAAGATGCAAGACTACTTCATTGTGTAATATTTCAGCAGAAAGGGGATTTTTGAGAGTCAAGTTCATTAAAACTTTTATATCTAATTACCCGCTATATCGAACTGGTAGACTTTTTTTGCAAGTTCAATATAAACGGGTTTCACTTACTCTGGCTTGGATTTACGGCCAGGTGGCGCAAGCTTCCGACCGTTTCGTGCTACCGAACTCAATACACTTGAAATTAACAATTGCAGTATATCAAATACCAAATAAGGGCAAATATAAAACTATAAACATATTTTGTGGTATTTTTTGCTAGTACTATTCGAACTATTCGATTCGAAATTATTCGACCAAAATCACTATTCGCTTCGAATTCGATTCGGACCCAAAATCCTCTATTCGCCCATGCCTAATATTTTTATGTTTTTGGTAATCCCAATGCTCTCACAAGTTTAAAGTTGGCCCTTTTTTGGTCTCTCGATTTGGGACTAGCACTTCTAAACTCCAGTAAACGTATTGACATGCAGAGTTTCCTTTCTCACAGAAACTAACAATAACTTAAGATACCCTCTCATAGTAATGGGGGATAGGACATTCTGTAGGTTAACAAAAAAGTATAAACACTTTAACAACCCTGAGATCGGAAATGAAAAAAAATAAAGGAATGGAAGAGAAAGATTTCTGCTGAATCGTTAAATGTCCAACATATTTTTATAGAAACGAAGTTCAAGCCTCGCCAATTTATGTACAGTAAAGTCAGAAAGCAAGGCTTTAGTTTTACTTCTCGGCATAAAACGTCCAGATGCCTCGACATCCCAAGATAGTATCAACAACTAACGTCATTCAACGGTGGAAGTCATCAGCAAAACAGCGATTTCTTGATACGGTGCAGCGTTAGAGCGAACACGGCTTCAGGCCATGCTTACTCCTATGCTGCACCGTTGCAACGATGTCAACAAGTTCGATGATTATTTGAAAATGGAACAACCATACTTAAGGACACTTAAGGACATTCTCCACCACACTGTCAACACTGTAATGCTCAGCTCTTTGAAACACTAGATACCAAGCCTTTCTTTTTGTTTCTTAGCTCATATCAATCTATAGAAGCTAGATTTCATAGGATAGCAAATGGAGTAATCAGTTATTAGAGTGCACGCTTGGCATGTTTGTTTGTAGTCCTGTGTAGAGATGGGCGAATATTCAGTAATTGCGAATAGCCCCATCGAATTCTGTTCTATTCGGTATTCGCTTCGAATCGAATTTCAAGGGGCACTGACACATCAAAATCACTTTTTTTTTTTATTATCCAAAACGATGTTTGTCCTGTCCGTCCTCTTCGTCTGACTCTTACGTATATTTTTGATTGAAAACTATGCCGGGACATTACCCTCAAAATTCGAAACTTGGAAATTCAGTATTTGTGAAGTAAAAAAACAATTTCCAAATGCTGAATTCGAAGTTCCTGCGCGATCCGCGCCGATGTGTTGACGTCAAGTATTGCGGAGTCCTGAGAGTCTGCTTTCTTTCACGACTCCGTGTTGTTGCCACCGCGACCCAAAGCGAGGAAGAAAGGAGCAAGGAGCAGGAGAGATAAGGGCGCCGGCTGACAGTGAAAAACCGGTTTCTTCGTCCAGTTCCCCGACTCACCGATCATCCTCTGCTCGAGCGCCGCCAAGTTTTCCGAGGGAGGGTACAAATCCAGGAGGCGATATCACACCGGACTCTGATTTTTGGTATTTCAAAAAGAAGGGCCGTAGTGCGTTCGCAATTGCGTTAAAAAACATGTTTTACGATTGCCGTTATTAAATGTTGTAGAAATGTCGCCTGGAAAGCTTCTAAATTTCATGATTTTTGACGTCACGAATCAAAAGAAGCGAGGAGGTGAAAAGCGGGAGAGGAAAATGCCAAAAATAAGAAGGAGCGCACGCGCGTGAAAATTTGTGTTTTGCGATGCGTTTTTTTTTTTTCGTGTCTAAGACTACAACTTGCATTGTTTTGGACAATAAAAAAAAATACGACCCTTGGGGTGTCAATGCCCCTTTAAGTATTCAACAATATTGAATTGTTCATCAATATCGAATTGTTCTACCTTTCCGAACACTCTGGCTTGAATTTCCGGCCAGGTGGCGCAAGCTTCCGACCATTTCGGCCATTTCGTGCTCCCAAACTCAGTACACTTGAAATGAACAATTACAGCACTTCTAATACCATATAAGGGGAAATATAACAATATTGTTTCATATCTTGTGGTATTTGTTGCTTGTACTATTCAAACTATTCGATTTGAAATTATTTGTCCAAAATAATTATTTGCTTCGAATTCAATTCAGACCCTAAATCCTCTATTCGCCCATGCCTAGTCCTGTGTGGATGAAACTAAACTCATAATTCAAAGTACAGGGATCTGGACAAAGCTATGCTATGTGTAGACTTAGGAACAATGGATTCCAATTCTACTTCAAGGAATATAAAGGCAATTATAGTCCCTGACAAGTTGAGAATGGCAGGGATAAGCTTCAGTTGTCCAGCCTCCAGCGCGGGCTTCTTACCTTTGACAATGCTTGGGCGTCTCGCGCACTTTGAGCACGTGCGCATGGTCAAAGCACGGCAGAAGGCCTGAGGCGCACGCTGGAACCGGACATTCAAAAGACATGCTTTGCCCTTCTCACTCTGGTGGTCGAATTAGCATTAGAAGTGACTGATTCACTGTCACATCTTTGTTTTAACTGTGGCATTTTTAAAAATAAGCTAAACTTTTGTAAAAAAAAAAAAAATACAGAGCTAGATTTTTTTTTACATTTAAGACATGTTATTGAAACATTGTAAAAAGATGTCTAAGGAGCCACACTAATTAAGATATAGAAAAATAACTTCATTCTTTTGTAGTAATACTTCTCCCAAATAATGATGTTCAAACCGTGCATATGAGCATAATGAGTTGTGCAAAGCTTTCTTTGTGTATCGGACGTGTAGATTACTACGAGCATATGA